GGCTACACCTGCGACTCCTCTTCCTCCTTCCACTCCACACCGTGCACGCGTACGCGATACACGCACGTAAACTCGGCGTGGCCATGGTTGGAGAGGAAGCGAAACTGCGCCGTCGCGATGGGCAGGCGCAAGGCGCGCGCCTCGGCGCTGACGGCAAACGTCTGCACCGCGCGCGAGGTGCGCGCAATGTCGTAAGCAAAGGAGGCGACGAGGAGATGGTGAGGGCTGGGCGGTGCGGGAAGAGGCGTGTCGTCGTCGTCGTCAGAGGAGGAGGCTTGCGAAGAGGAGGCGGCGGCGCGCGCCGCAGCCTCTGCTCGGCGATACTCGGCCAGCCGCTGGCGGTCTTGCGCGCGCTCCACGAGGGCCCACACGGCCACGTCTCGGGGCGCCGAGCGTGCGTCTTCGAATGCGAGGGCGCGCGGCACATGCTCGAGGGAGATGTCGGTCGGCACGACGGCGCGAGCAAGGCGAATGCCCAACTGCCCATCCTCCCCCGCGAAGGGCCAACACATGCCGGCGGCGCTGTCCGGGTGCAACGCCACCACCGGCGGGCGACTGGGCAGCGTCGAGCCTTTGCCGCCGCCGCGCAGCAAGGACAGCGAGTGCAGCAGGCCAGAGCGACCCGAGGCTCGCTCGTACGTCGGAGAGGTGAGCGACGGAATGACTCGAGCGCCGGCGCTGAAGAGGGCAAAGTCGGCTTGTGCCACGCGATCGGCCGAGTAGGCCTCGAGAGCGGCGTCGATGAGAGTGAGGATCGAGTCTCGCGCGTCACTGCCGTCCTTGAGCTTCATCTCCAACTTCGGCACTTGCTTCATCCACTGCGCCGTGCCGCCGCCGGAGGGAGGATGCGCCGCCTCGTGGCGTCTCGAAGGAGCCCAGCTGCCGCTCGCCTCGAACATCTCGCGCTGCTGGCGCACCTTGCCGAGAATCTCGCTGGAGAGGCCCTCTGCATTCTCGTGGAAGCGCGTCTCGAGTCTCGTCTGCAGCGCCTCGACTTCGGAGTTGAGGAGCTGGATGAAGTCGCTGCGCTCCAGCACCACGCCTGTGCCGAGGCGCTTCTCCATGCCGCCTTGCACCTCCTCGCGCGCAAGCGCTCGCAGAGAGGCTTCGTTTGCCGCAAGGAAGTGCCGCCAGCTGCCCGGCGTCGTCGTCGCATCGCCATCGCCGCTCGAGCTCGAGGCGCCGGACGAAGACTTGGAGGCAAAGACTTTGCCCAAGGCCTCCCAGAAGGAGGCCTCGATGTGCAGTTCGCCACGCCTGTCCATGCGCACCGGCAGTTGCGCCGGCAGATCGTGCTGCAGCGTCTCGAGCGTCTTGCGTGCGGCATCTGCGACGTCTTGAGCGCGCGCACTCTGTGCCGACAAGGCCGCCAGCTGTTCCTCGGCTCGCTTGGCGCGCGTCTCGAGCGCCGCAAGCTGCGCGTAAAGACGCTTGCTCTCTGCGCTGCTCGTCTTGTCGTCCAGCGCAGACTGCTGCTTCTCGAGAGCGGCGGCGTTGTTCCTTGCGCGGCTCTCGATGAGCTGCAGCTCCTCTCTCAATCTCGCCATCTCCGTGCGAGCGCGCTCGCCCGTCGTCTCGAGCGCCGCAAGCCGTCGCTGTGAAGCCATCTTCTCCTCCTCGACGCTGCGCTGCAGTGCCGAAAGTCCATACGCGCCCTCCTTGATGCCGCGTTCCAGCTGTGCCACACGCAGTCCCAGCGAGAGACGCGCCCGAGTCTCCTCGTCGCTCTGCGCACGCACACTCTCCGTCGTGGCGCTCAGGCGCGACACTGCGCCCTCGAGGTTCGTAAGGCGAGAGACGAGACCTTCGACGCTTGAAGGTGGCAGATTGGGCGCCGAGAACGTCGGGCTTGATGCGTGCAGAGACGAAGAGGAGGAGGAGGAAAGAGTGCCGGCGTGGTATGCTCCTGTTGCGGCGAGGCCAGCTACGAGCAGAGGAACGCCCCACGTTCGCACGGCAGTCGGCACCGAAGGCAGCATGGCCAGCCAGCTCCCATCTTCCTGACGTTGTCGCTTGATCCCTCGACGAGCTTCCGCCCGTTCCACCTCTCCCTGTCCGCCCTCCTCTTCCTCCTCCTGCAGCGCCTCGAGCGTCGAATCCCCCACTTCCGCACTCGCACCTCCTGTTCCTCCAGCGCCGCTCCTCTTCGCCTTCTTCGCTCCCGACGCCTTGCGCTTGCCCGTCGTCGACCAGATCTCGTTGTCCTCGCGTCCCGCGCGAATGGCCGACGTCGAGGCCGAGCTGCCGTCCGAGCGACGCTTGCGTCGACCAGGCTGCTTGCCTTCATCCGAGTCGTCTTCCTCGCTGCTCTCGTCGCCAGTCGGACGGAACGGCGCGTTGTCCTTGCTGCTGCGCGCTTTGCGAGGCGCAGGCTTGCGCCGCGTGGCGGCAGAGTCGTCCATCGACTGTTGAGGCTCCTCCGTCGTGTGTCCGTTCGTCTCGCGACTCTGCTCGTCTCCGTTGCCGCGCGGACTGCCCCACGATGACACGCGATCCATGAAGCCGAAGGCCATGCCGCTAAGGCGTCCTCGGCCTCTCGGCGTGCTTTGCTGTTGCTGCAGTCGCGCGGCGTGCGCAGCTTCCTCTGTGAAGTCGGCTCGAGACTCTCCATCGCTGCTGCGCATGCTCGACATGTTGGCGCTTACGTCGGCATGGCGAGGAGGAGGTGAGAGAGGATCGTGCGAAGGTCGTTGGGCTCCTCGAAGCAGCGTCGAGCCTAGGACGCGAGATCCACCGGCAGACGCCGCATCGTCGAGTGCGAGAGAGGCAGATCGTTCGCGTTCAGGCCGAACGAAGAAGCTATACGTCGCTTTTCCTTGGCCATTGCCGCCGTTGGTGCCGCGCGAGAACGACGCAGCGCTCGAGGCTTGCGAGCGAGGCGCCGGCGGCTTGGCAGCCGCAGCGTTCAAAGTGGCGGCATGCCGAGCAGCCGCGCGACGTTCCTCTGCCTCATCGTGACTGTCGACTCCCTCGTCCTCCTCAATCGCATCAATGTGCTGTCTCCCTCCTGCTCCCACTCCTCCGCCTGCTGCTGCGCCGCCGGCCTGTGAAGTAGCATCGCTGCCTGCGACACTGCGACGCGAAGAGCGACGCGCAGGAGAGGCAGCTACGCTTGCGTCGTGCTCCTGCGTTGAACGTTGCTTCAGTCTGGCATAGCGAACATTTCCAAGAAGCGGCTCCTCTGGCTGCTCTGCCTCGCCGCCAGCAGCACGCACGTTCTCGAGCGAGCGATTCTCGCGTGCGCGTCGCAGTGCTTCTGCGTCGGGCGGAGCGCCGTATGCGTAGCTAGTCACAGGCGTAGCTCGACTGGCAGGCCGGCGAGAGCGCGAAGGAGCAGCACTGCCGCTCTCGCTGAAGGAGGCGTCTGCGCCGCCGAGGTCGGGAGACGTGGCGGAGAGATCGACGGAGGCGCGCGAGGAGGATGCGCGTGGAGCAGCGCGGCTGGACGAAGCTCGAGAGGCCATGATGCGGCCAGCCCAAGGGGCCGAGCAACGAGGAGCCGGGAGCGCAGCGCAGAGAGGCGCGTGTGTGCGCGGGCCGCGCGGCGCGCGCGGCGAGGCCGGGAGCGCAAGCAGAAGGCGGCGGCGAGGCACGCGCGCGCTGCAAGTGTGACGCAAGAGGAAGGGAGAGAAGGAGCTGATGGTACAAGTCACGGGCGGATGCGCGGATGGATGGATGTGGAGAGGAGGCAAGCAGCAAGAAGCGCAGCGCTCAGACGGAGCAAGCGCGGCGTGCGAGCTCATCACGCGTCGCGCCCGCCGCCGCGCGCCGCGCCGCTGCCTCTGCGCCGCAGCAAAGCAAGGCCCGCTCGAGCCCCTGTCTTCCTGCGCAGCGGGCTACATGCTACGGCTGCCTCACTTGACCGAGCAGCATGCGCCAAGCATAGGTGCGCATCTTCCGTGCCAAAGGGCGGCCTCGCCGCGACATGCATTTCGATTCTTATTCTGCCTTGTCGATGTAGATGAAGGCGCGCGTCGGTCCCGCCGCCGTCATCACGGGCACGGCCACTCGAGCGTAGCCGCTGCCCTCAAAGGCGTCGAGGCGCGCCCAGTGCGCCGGCAGCTCGTGCGACTCGAACAGGCTGACGGCGATCTGCGCACCCTTCTCGGCGTCCGGGATCATCGCCGGATAGCCCAGCGGCGCGCCCCAGCCACGCTCGACGAGATGGCCGCGAACGGTGCCGCTGCTCCAGGTGCCGTGCAGGCCCTCCAGCTGATGCGCGTTGGGCCGGCCGGGTGCCAACGTGCCGTACGTCGCCAAGCGGCAGTCTGCCTTGTTCGTGTCAGTCGGCATGGCCCGTTCTTGATGGCTGCCGCTGTGGGAGTAAGAGTGATGAGGGTGACGAGGCAAGCAGCACAAAGCGGCCCGAGCTTGCCGAGGCGCCAACAAGCTCGGCAGTCGAGTCATACGCGCGCTCGCGCTTGTGGCGCCGCCGCGCAGCAAAGCAAGGCGCCCACGGCCCGCCCGCCCGCGCGCCCGCCCGCTCGAGCCCCTTCTTCCTCCTGCCAGCGCGCCGTAGCTCACGCCGAGTGCCCTGCAGCCACTGCAGCATCGAGCGTGTACGGGCGCTGCAGGCTCGACGTGAGCGTCTGCAGTGCTACGCCCTCTTTTGCTGCGGCTTCGGCCGCGCTGCACCTGCGCGGCGGATGCAGAGATGATGTTCGCCCTGCTCCTCTCTTGTGCCTGTGCGAAGCGCGCGACAGGAGGAGCAGCGTGGCTTCGTCCCGAGGGGCAGAGGCGCACGCCTGAGGCCGACACGGCGAGGACAAGAGCGCCCCGCTGCGCATACAGCGGCTCGCTTTGCTGCTTCAGCGCCCACGCGCGATTGCATGCTGCTGAGGCACACTCGGGCTGCAGCAAGAGTGCGCAGACGGCGGCGGCGGTGCGAGCCAGCCGAGTTGCTGAGTGGAGGCGCGCAGACGGCAGCGGAGCAGGCGGGCTCGGCGGAGTGCGAGTCGAGCGGGCGGCGCCGCGGCGCTGGCGCAGCGGCGGCAGCGATCTCTGCGCGCGCGTCTCTCGACTTTGTCGCCTCCACCGCTCTTTGCCTGTCTCTCGTCTTTCGCAGCACGCCTCTTGCGCTCAGCTCTCACTGCAGCGCGTGCCTCGCCACATCACACCCGTCGTCAACAGGCCCAGGCGCACCCTTGCTCCACGCTCGGCCCGCAGCACCAATGTCGGCTCTCGTGCTCCCCGGCGATCGGCTGCCTCTCTCTTCTGCGGCGCACGTCAAGCTGGGTCCCGGGTTGGTGCATGCCTCTGCCTCTGCCTCCTCGTCGAGTGCAAGTGCTGCGACCGTGCTGCACATCACGCGCGCCGGCTTGCTGGCGCGCACACAGGCCGGCAAGGGAGCGCAAGGCCGATGGGTCGAGACGAATGCTCGACGAGTGAGTTCTGCGCGCGCCGCTAGCCTTGGATGCTTGAGCTACTTGCTACTGCTGTGGGGCGCAACAGGGGGGGTCACTTGCTGTTCCTTTGAGGCGGCAGACGTCACGGAGCGCTTGTGGGCAGCGGGCCTTCGCTCTTGCGCCTGTACGCGCTGGCTGAGCGCCTCTTACACAACCCCCCCCCCCCCCTCCCTCATAGTATATCCCTTCTCCCGGCGACTCCATCGTCGGCCAAGTGACGCACCGCTCCGCAGACGGCTACCTGCTCTCTCTCGGCTCGGGCTGCGCCCACAGTGCCACGCTGCCGGCGCTGGCGTTTGAGGGCGCGACGAAGCGCCAGCGCCCCAACCTGCGCGTCGGCGCCCTCGTGTACGCGCGCATCGCCGCCGCGGAGCGCCATGCGGAGCCCGAGGCGACGTGTGTGGATGCAGAGACGGGCAGGGCAGAGGGCTTTGGAGAGTTGAAAGTGGACGAGGAGGGATGTAGTATGTGCTTCAAGACAACGCTGGGCTTGGCGCGCAGGTGAGTCTTCTTCCTTGCCTTCTGGCTCTCTCTCTCTCTCTTTCTCTTTCTCTCTCTCCCTCTCTCTCTCTCGAGAGAGACGTCTCGGCGAGCTGTAAGCTGACGCCACACACCCAGTCTGCTACGACCTTCGCATCCTCTTCTCCCTGCGCTCGCCACACATTTCCCCTTCGAAGCAGCCGTCGGGCACAACGGCCTGATCTGGGCGCGCGCGGGGGAGCACAGGCACCTCATTGCGTTTGGCGCCGTGCTGCGCGCCGCAGACGAGCACGTGCCGAGCGCCTCTTCTGCCGCTGCGGCGAGTGGGAGCAGCAAGAAGAAGAAGACGCAACAACAACAGCTGCTGCTGGAGGAAGGAGCGACGCATGGCATGGACGGCGCGACGCTGGCGGAGAAGAGAGGAGCGCTTTCAGAGGCCGAGGTGAGACGCATCGTGGCGATGTACACGTGAAGGGAGAAGGCGCGACCACACGACATTTCAAGCATCGATACACATTCAGCTGCGCTGCGATGTGCACGCGAGGGCAAGGGCCTTTGCACGCACGGGGGGCTAGTTGCACGGCTGCTCGAAGGTAGATGGGGGTGAACTACACGGCGGCTGGGAAGAGCGGGAGCGACCTGGCTCGCCAAACTTGTGCCGCCTGGAGTGTGGCGAAGAGATCTATGCGGAACGGGGAATGGCGCAGTGACATGCGCGAGGCGACGAACGCGCGCGAGAGAGAGAGGACTAGAGGTGACACGGACGGGGGGGGGGGGGGGGGGGGCGGCGCAATGGCGAGGCCGCGTTCACAAAGACGAGAGCTGGGTAAGAGAGTGTGGGTGTTCGCCGCGCGAGGATCTTGATGGGGCACGAAGGCGGGCGGAGTCGATGGGCATGCGTCGCTCGATGCCGGAAGACGGGCTTCGCAGGTAGGTAGCAGGCTCGAGTCGCATAGACTCAAAGGCGCGAGACGATGAGGGGCATGCGCGTGCCGTACTGCTCCTGGCCGACGATGAGGGCGCGGCGAGCAATCATCTGCCGCTGGCTGAGCTCCCATCCGGGCACGACTTCGAACTTGAAGTCGCAGAGCAGATGCGCCAGGAGCACCTTGATCTCCGTCTGCGCAAAGCGCTGTCCGACGCAGTTGCGCGGGCCGGAGATGAAGCTGAAGAGGCCCGGACCGGGGAGCGCCTTGACGGCCGCGGGCAGCTGCGTCGCCGAGTTGTCCCAGCGCTCCGGCTTGTACTCGGCCGCGTCGGGGCCCCAGAGTTCAGTGTCGAGGCCGACGGCGGCAATGGGCACGAAGAGCTCGTGGCCCTTTGGAATGACGACGCTGTCGAACGTCGACTTGCCGTCGGCAGAGCGGTAGGCCTTGGAGAGCGGCACGACGTCGTCTTCCGTCGCCTCGCGCACCGTCGAGGGCAGAGCCGTCATGAGGCGCAGCGACTCCTTGATGCAGCACTCGAGGTACGGCAGAGCATGCACGTCGCCGACGAGGCAGCCTTCGTACGTGCCCGCGCTGCCCTCGAGGGCATGCTGCTTCTTTGCCGCCTGAATCTCGGCGCGCAGACGCTCCTGCACGTGCGGGTGTTCGGCGAGCAGACGCAGCGTCCAGCTGGTCTGCGTGGCGGAAGTCTCGGAGCCGGCGAGGAGGAACGTGGCGGGCACGCCCTCGAGCTCCTCGTCCGTCAGACGCTCGTTGGCACGCAGATCAGCAGCCATGTTGGCGCGGATGACGCGGTGAAGCAGCGAGCCGGACTTGGTCGTCTGCACGTCGTCGAAGGCCTCCTTTGTGAGAATCGAAGGTGCCCGAGAGGTGATCGGCGCGTCATCCTCAGCTACGAGCGTCGCCTTGTCGTCGCCACTCTCGTCACTCTTCTCGAGAGGCGTACGCTGGCCGGTGCGCAGGCCACTGCCGTGCGACGTACGCTTGCGCAGGTTCGCAGCCGACAGCTGGTGCTTCATGCTCGGCACGATCGTCGCGGCCACCTCGCCCGCAATCTCCTGCTTCGCGCGCGAGACGATCTGCGTGGCGTAGCGCTGGCTCGTGGCTCGCGCAGAGGCGATCATCTTCTGCCGACGCGTGGGGATGCCGCGCATCCAGCCGAGGCCTCGGATCTCGGAGAGCAGGATGGTGAAGGCCTGCACGAGGTCGACATCCATGCACGCCGTCATGAGGTTGTTGTACGCCTCGCTGAGCTCGTCTGCGTTGCCGTTGTCGAGCGAGTTGAACTGGTAGTTGAAGCCCGCATCGCCAATGACGTCGAGGGCGGTGCGAGAGGCCCAGAAGAGGACGTCGACGACGGCCGACGAGCCCGGCCAGGAATGCAGCGCGACCTGGGCGTCGGGAGGAGACTCGCCGTCCTGAAGGACGCCGGCGGGCGCCCTGCCACTGCGCCGCGCGACGGCGCCATCGATGATTGAGCCAATCTTGGCAGCGAGCGAGGCGCCGTGCTTCTCCATCACCGGCTGCAGCTCGCGCACGGCGGCGTTGGTGAACTGCCAGCAAGGAGCGTCAGCAACACGGCCCCGCTGCGGCGTGGGCAATGGCAGCAGAGCCCGCACGAAGCTGCGCCAACTCACGGCAGGAGAGATGATGCGACGCTCGCGCCGATGCTTTTCGCCCTCGACGGTGATCAGGCCCTCGCCCATGACGGCATCGAGAAAGATGCGCGTCGACTTGCTCTTGGGGTACTTGTAGGCGCGAGCCGGACCATGAATGTACTGCAGCCAGCATGCGAGGGTCAACTACCCACACAGCCAAGGCGCTCGGCCGCTCCTGCATTTGGCCCTGGGCCGCACGACGCCGCAGCGCACACTCACCAGCATGGCCTTGGGGTCGCTGATGAAGATGCGCGGCGTGCCAAACATGTGGCGATAGCGAAAGACGGAGCCGAGCTGCTTGATCCACTCGGCATGCTGCTCGCCCGGCTGCGCCGCCTTGATGGCGCCAAAGTCACCCATGAGAATCGTGGAGAGAAGCGATCCTTGGTGCGTGGCGGCGGGAATGTGCGACCAGCTGTTGAGCACGTGCTCGCCGATGGTGAGGCGGTAGAGGGACTGGGAGATGAGGAAGAGCCCGAAGAGCAGCGCCAGTGCGGCAGCGACGCCGAGGGGCGCGAGGAGAAGCGCGGAGCCGAGAAAGGCGAGACCCATGGCGGGCGAGGCGGACGAGAGGTAGTGTGAATGAGGAGAGTACTGCTGGCGTGGGCGTAGAGGTGCGAGTGTGAGCCCAAGGGACGGAGAAGCAGCAGCAGCGACGACGACGAGGCGAGCAGCAGGGCAGGATGAGGCAGCGGCGCGTGCGCGGGCGCAGAGAGGCGCTTTATGAGGGGGGCGCCCCTCCTCGCCCAGCCGGCGCCGCACGGGCCGACTCTCGCTGACTCGCTGGAGCACGCCGGACGGCAGCAGGCTGTGCTGTGCGTGGCTCGGGAGCACAATGGTGATGCCGCCGCTGCGAGCGGCGAGGTGTCGCAGCGCCGCGACGTGCTGCGTCTGCCGCCGCTGAGAGCGCGTCATGCGTGCCGCTCAATGGCGCCGGCCTGCGGCGAGCTCGTGCCTCCAGCCTGCGGCTACACACTGCTGCCTCGAGTCTGCATGCGGCTCAGACTCACCACGGCACAAGAGCCCGAGGTCACGGCGCAGCGGCCAGTGCGTGAGACGCCGAGCGGACGGGAGCAGGCGAGTTGAAACGAGGCGGTCGAGCTTGATGAGAGAGGGTGCGGGTGGAGAGGAAGCAAGGCGAGGGAGCAGCAGGAGTGGGCAGCGCTGCTGCTCTGCGGCTGGCTTCGCTAATCCTTGACGGCTGTCGCGGCTGCTCGTCTGCTTGCTGAGTGCTGTTGCTCTCGTGCACCCTCGGCTGCGCTCAGGGGGCAGAGCGCAAGTTTGGCGGCGGCAAGTGGCGCTGGCGGTGACGCGCAGAGTGCCTTGGAGCGAGCGTTGGGACACGGCGGGCGTTCGGGCAGGCCAGCAGCGACTTTGAGAATGCGAGAGGGTGTGGTAGGAAGCCGAAGAGAAGGGCATGCTTCTTCGCCTCGAGGCAGGCTGGCAGCCATGGCAAGCCAGGCGCAGGCGAAGCGGACGCATTTCGGTTGGCGCGAGGGCCACAGCGGGAGCATCGGGCCAGGCCGACGCGTGTGTGCCTCTCGGTGCTTTCTGTTTGCGCCCAGCAGCGCGGCAGGGCTGCGGATCGTCGATCAAGGCAGGCCTCGTGCCATGTGCCTGCTCGTCGTCGCGGCAAGCAAGCGAAGGCCACCCACAAGACCTGCACAGCCAGCCGCAGACGAGGCAGCGGCAGCGAGAGAGCTCGCACGTCCCACGGCACGAGCGCAGCGCAGCAAGAGTCTGAGCTGCGAGCCTGATGCTGCTCCACCTTCGCGACAACGCTTGCCTAGCGTGCTTTTTGGGCTCGACGCGTACGTCTCGCCTCGTGAGGCGGGCGAATCGCCATGCAGACGCCGTGAGAGAGGAGGGGCGCTTGCTGGACGCCCGCGACGGCAGGCCGCAGCTGCAGCGCCCTCCTCAAGCAGCATGCATCACCATCCTCATGCCGGCGGCAGAGCAGCGCTCCGCAGACGCAGCGTCGATCTCCCACGGGCGCCGCGCGCGCGCGAAGCGCAAGGGAGCGCGCGCTGCAGAGGTGCGTCTCGCTGCTGCGTGCTGCCGTCGTGAGGCATGCGTCGAGCACACCGAGTGCACCACCTCGACGGTCGCAATGACTCTGCTTCTTCAGAACAGGCATGAAGCATTGCAGAACGCCGGTCTTTGTTTGCTGAGCAAGCTTCCAAAAACGTCCGGCGGACGGGATGATGTGCCTCGGTGCTGCCGGGCGCAAGGCACGCGCCGCGCACGCGCGTCTCTCCATTTGCTTCCGCCGTCTCGCCGCACCCTTGGTGCTTTCCTTGCCGCGTTTGTTCCCGCTCTCTCTGCCATGTGAGAGCCTGAGCGGGCATTGCATCCAAGTCGAGTCTTTGTGCCGCACATCGGCGGCCGCGATGTCTCGCTGCGCTGCGGATGCGCTCGTCTCGTTGAGGGCGCAAGGTTGCACGCCGCACGCGCCCGCGCGCGCGGTCGAGCCTCGATGCTCCCCTCTCCCGCTCGACCCCACCGGCGCGAGCGCAACGTCGAATTCTTCTTTTGCCTCACCGCTGCATCGCGCAAGATTGTCGTGCCACCTGAATGAGGCAGCTCTCCCTTCGTGCATGCAAGGGCAGGCTGTGCCTGACAGACGCGAGAGGTGCGTGTCCAGGCACGCCGAGATGCGAGCAAGGGCAGCACCGCCAGGCGCGCGCTAAGGCCTCTCGCGAGGTGCTTCGGCGAGGCGCGAGGAGCGAGGCCGACGTTGCCAGCCGTCGTCTCAGGGAAGGAGAGGTCACGTGACGAGCCCCTTCGACCTCCTCCCGATGGCCGTTGTGCGTGCGCGCGTGAGAGAGAGGCGCGCGAGAGGGCAGCCAGAGCAGACGGGAGATGCGCTGCAGCAGGATGCGAGCTCCGCGCCCGACCGCCGGGTACGCTGCTGCGTCACGGCGCTGCCGGTCGTGCGTGCTGGAGAGCAACAGCCTTCTTTCCTTGCACTGTGCAGAGGCTTGCTCTGAGCGTGCAAAGCAGCGTCGAGGTGATGCGTGGCGTGTCGAGTCGTGCCACGCAAGGGGGGGAGCACAAGCCTCGCCGCGCCCAGAAGCAGGTGCAGGCGGCGCGGCGCGCGGGCCGGCGGCGAGCTGGGCCGGGCCGGGCGCAGCGGCCGTAATCAGCGATGCGGAGACGCCTCGCGCGCCCGCACCGAGTCGCTGCGCTTCCATGGGCGCCACGCCCCGGCCTCACCGTTGCCTCTCCACCACCACCACGCACCGCACGCCACACAAGCACGCGCACCCATGTCGTTCAGCGACTTGGCGTCCGGCGCCGCCTGCGGGCCCGTCAACGGCCTGCAGGCGCTCGGCAAGCGCTTCGGCGCCGACCGCAGCACGCAGCAGGACCGCATGGGTGTCGCGGGGCCCTCGGATGCTCGCAGCGTGAGCAGGCAGCGCAGCAGCCACGGCCGCCTTGTTGGCACACCCAAGGGACTGACACCTTGCCACGCAGGCCTTCCGCTCGGCACCGCACAGCGCCCAGGCAGACGACTTCTTTGCTCAGCAACAGCAGCAGCAGCAACAGCACTCGCAGCAGTCGCAGCAGCAGCAGCACTCGTTCGACTTGGCTCCTCTGGGCCACACACTGCCGTTCGCCGCGCCCATCGGTCCTTCCGGCGCACATCTGACGCGTGCAGTGCCCGACTTCAATGCTGCCTTCCGTGCGCCTGCGGCCGTACAGAGCCGCACGACGCACTCGGCAGGCGGCAGTCGTTGGGCACATGAGTTCCAACCACAGGCGCAGGCGCCGACGCAGCGGCCACAGCAGCAGCAGCAGCAGCAGCCCAAGTACGCGCATCCTTCAGCCACGCATGCCTATCAGCCACGCTATGCAGGCATGGCGGCAGGTGCATCACACATGCAGCATCGAGCCCAGCCGCTGCAGACGCCGCTTCAGAGCAGTGGCGCACAGGACTCAGCGGCGCAGTTCGATCGTGAGTCTGCGCGCGGGCGGGAGAGTCGTGGAAGTAGACAGAGGCGAGAGGGAAAGAGAGAGAGAGGGAGAGAGACGAAGAGAAGCGGCTACGCTGGCGCATGGCGGGCAGAAGTGCTGATGCTGCCCCGTTCATCGTGCAGAGTCGACGTGGGACAACGCATTCACTTCGTTCGACGTGCCTGCCGCTGTGCCCTCCGCATCAAGCAGCACGATGCAGGCGCCCGAAGCACTACTTGGACCTCGCCTAGGTCCCGACACTCGACCTCGTTCGCCCACGCGCACGGAGATGGACGAGCTGGCGCGCACAGCCGGCCGTCTGGTCGAGACGGTGGATCACGAGACATCGGCCAAGTTCAAGTCGAGCCAGTTCCTCAACCTCATGTCGCGCATCCGCGACAAGCAGGCGGGCATTCAAGGACGCGACATTGTCGACACTCCACCGGGCGCCGCCACATCGAGCAGCGTCGGCGCGCAGACGCACACGCATCCGCTGCAGCCGCAGGCGCTCGACAAGGGCAAAGCACGCGCGATGGATGCCACGCCCGCCACGGCACAGCAAGAGTACGCACTCAGCCAATCGCAGCTGCCCTCGCGGCTGCATGCCAACGCCCATCGCTTCGGCCAAGCCCTGCGCGGCGGCAACGCGCTGGGTGCGAGCGCGGCACTGCGCAGCGAGATTGAGGGGCGCCAGGAGCTGGCGGAGATGTGGGCCGAGGAAGACGCGCGCAGCGAGGCCATCGAAGCCGAGGCGCGCAGAAAGGCGGAGATGGCATTCAGTGGAGATGGAGGAGACTTGCGCGCCAGGATGGCAGAGGACGATGCCGAGGCACGCGAGTATGCCAAGTTCGCAGGCATGCGCAGCGCCACTGGCATTGCGGGTGCCTCGGAGCACGCTCGCGAGTGGGAGGAACGCATGAACGAGGAGGCGGGCGACTTTGTGGGCAGAGCATGGGAGGGCAGGAAAGGCAAAGGCGTGCGAGGAGCGCAGCAGGCAGAGTGGGCGCAGCTGCAGGACGACTGGGAAGATTGGCAAGCCGGCCCCACGGGCCTGCAGCATGCCGCACGCACGGCTGCTTCCAAGCTGCGCCCCGCCAGTGCCGCTCGAGCGCCGGCGTACAAGTTCCAGCGCGACAATCCGTACGTCGGCGCCGCGACTCGGACGCACGCTCTGCATTCCGCCTCCAACCTCTCTGCCGATCTTCGCACGGTGCTGGAGCGCGAGGCGGCGGTGCAAGCTGATCCGCGCAACGCTGCGGCATGGCTCGAGCTCGGCGTCAAGCAGCAGGAGAATGAACGCGAAGGGCTCGCCATTGCGGCGCTGCACAAGGCCCTCGAGATTGACCCGACGATGCGCGATGCGTGGCTTGCTCTTGCGGTGAGCTACACGAATGAGAACGACCGGCCTGCCGCTTTGGAAGCGACGGAGCGCTGGATCGACTCGCTGGAGCAATACGCGACCGTCGTGGCTGCGCATCGAGCCTCTGCCGGCGGCAGCGCGGCGGCGCCGAGTGCCGCGTCGTCTACGTCGCCTCTGGAGCGCCACATTCGCCTCATCGACACGCTCATCGCCATTGCGCGCCACGGCTCCGAGGCCGAGCACGTCGATGCCGACATCCAAGTCGCGCTCGGCGTGCTCTTCAACGCCAGCGAAGACTACGACAAGGCCGTCGACTGCTTCTCGGCCGCGCTCAGCGTGCGCCCCGACGACTGGCTGCTGTACAACCGCCTCGGCGCCACGCTCTCCAACTCGGGCAGGAGCAACGAGGCCATTGCGTACTATCATCACGCCCTCGAGCTGCAGCCGGGCTTTGCGAGATGTCACTTCAACATGAGCATTTCATGCCTCAACCTCAAGGTGAGCCCCCTCTCCTCTCTCTTGCCCCTCTCTCCTCTTCTCATCCCTGGCTGACCTCTCCTCCCGCCCCCCCGCCGATCAGATGTACAGAGAGGCAGCGTCGCACATCTACACGGCCCTCACCCTGCAGGCGACGGACGACGCTGCCGCGCATGCGCCCTCGCCCGACGCCGTCGCAGGCGTGACGTCTGCGGCGCTGTGGGAGACGCTGCGCGTGGCGCTCGAGTTGCTGGATCGCAGTGACTTGGCCAATCTGACCAGTCGACGCGGTGAGTTGTCCCCCCTCTTCCTCTCGAAGCGAAGCAACGAGAGTGAGATGGGAAAGCAGTAAAGCTGATGCCCAACGTCGTTGCGAGCAGACATCTCCCTCTTCGACCCGGCCGACTTCTTCGCTGATGATGCGGAGATGCACGTCGAGGCGTGAGGTGGCAGCGAGCGGCAGCCCGAGTGGCGATGCTTGTCCTTAGGGGCGCAAGAAGAGGAGGGGGGGGCTCGGCACAATGCGATCGCATCAGCAAGCCAACGTGTGCTTGACTGAGGACGTCGAAGTGCACAGCCGAGCTGGAGGGGGCGTGCAAGGGGGCAGGGACTCTGCAGGAGCACGGCGCTTTGTGCAAGACGCATACTGGCGTGCGCCAGCCAGCGGCGCGCCTTGGCAACGCTGCTGGCCCATTCTGATCATGTATGCCATGCAGGTGTCACTTGCTGAAGCGATGGCTCGGCGTGAGATGGAGGCAGCGCAGGCGCCCCGCAGAGGCTCGCCCCGCGTCCGCTGCCCGCTATGTGGCCGCACGCTGCTGCATGCTGGGCGCGCAAGGGCAGGGCGGCGGCGCTGCCCCGAAAAGCTCCGATGCACGTTGGTGGAAAAAGTGATTCGGCGTGCGCTCGCGCCGCGCTGCACTCGGGCGCGTCTTCGAGCGAGTCACGCACCGGCGCGGCCCTTGCCTTGCCTCCTCATCTCCCCCCACACTCATCTCCCGACGCACTTCCACCCAACACGGCAACGATGGCGTCGTTTGACTCGTGGCAGTCGCCGCTGGCAGGGTGCGTCGTCGTCTGCTGATGCTTCTGCTCCACCCTGGGCGTGCCCTCCCGCGTGCTCACGACGTGCCTGTCCATACACAGCCGCTATGCCTCCAAGGAGATGTCGGCCATCTTCTCAAACGGCGTACGTCCTCTCCTTCCCCCCCCCCCCCCCTCCCACTCACTCACATCGACTGCACACACACACACAGACGCGCTTCAGCACCTGGCGTGCCCTCTGGCTCAACCTCGCCATTGCGGAGAAGGAGCTGGGCCTGCCCATTCCCGACGCCGCCATCGCAGAGATGCGTGCCAACCTGCTGCTCGACGAGGCACAGATGCAGGCGGCGGCCCAGGAGGAGAAGAAGCGCAGACACGACGTCATGGCCCACGTGCACGTCTTTGGCTCCGTCTGCCCCACGGCCGCGCCGTTCATTCAGTAAGTCTCTCTCTCTCTCTCTCTCTCATGCCCGCGCAAGGAAAGCTAGAGCAGCCAGAGCGAAAGGGCAAGGGGCGCAAGTGGCACGGCAACGAAGAGGCGGCGACGTTCGCAAAGGACGCTGGACATGGCACAGAGCAAATGTGCGAGGCGCGCGGGGGCAGGGATTGAAGATGGGGAGGGGGGGGGACGCTCTAGAGAGAGAGAGAGAGAGAGAGAGAGAGAGAGAGAGAGAGAGAGAGAGAGAGAGAGAGAGAGAGACGCACGAATGGACGGGACCTTGTGCTCTTGAATTTTTGCCCTACTTGTCGTCAGAGAGAGCGGGAGGGGGTGGTCATCAGGCCAGCACTCTCCATCTTCTTCCCTGCCATCTACGCTCCGTCCGCTCACTCCATCTGCCCCCCAGCCTCGGCGCGACGTCCTGCTACGTCACCGACAATGCGGACCTGATCTTCCTGCGGCGCGCCATGGATCTGCTGCTGCCCAAGCTGGCCCTCGTGATTGAGCGGCTGGCCGTGTTTGCGGACAAGTACAAGGCACTGCCCACGCTCGGCTTTACGCACATGCAGCCGGCACAGCTGACGACGGTGGGAAAGAGAGCGACGCTGTGGATCCAGGTGAGTGCGCGCGCTGTAGAAAGGCAGAGGCGCGCCGGAGGCGGGACAGGGGGAAGGGCAAGAGGCGGCGATAGCTGGTAGCCAGCCCGCGCTGGACGCGAGAGGAGCGAGCACAGGGGCTGCAGGAGGGGAGGGGGGGGGGGGCAAATGGCTGGTAGCGAGCCTGCGCTGGGATGTCTTTGCAGCACGGCATAGGAGAAACAGGATGCTGATGCCAGTCTTGACCATGCCCCCCCTGTCTTTCGCGCGCACTGCAGGAGCTGCTGTGGGATCTGCGCAACATGAAGCGCGCGCGCGACGACTTGGGCTTCCGCGGCGTCAAGGGCACGACTGGCACGCAAGCCTCCTTCCTCTCCCTCTTCGATGGCGACCACGACAAGGTGGAGGCGCTGGATGAGCGCGTGACTGCCCTCTTCGACTTTCCCTACGCCATGCCCGTCACGGGCCAGACGTACTCGCGCAAGATCGACATTGACGTCTTGGCGCCGCTCGTCTCCTTTTCCGCCAGTGCGGCAAAGATGGCGACGGACATTCGCCTGCTCTGCCATCTCAAGGAGATTGAGGAGCCGTTTGAGAAGGACCAGATTGGCTCGTCGGCCATGGCGTACAAGCGCAACCCGATGCGCTCGGAGCGCGTCTGCTCCCTGGCGCGCTGGCTCGGCAACATCTACGGCAATGCGCGCGAGACGGCCAGTGTGCAGTGGATGGAGCGGACACTGGATGACTCGTGCGTAGTAGGGCCGCAAGCGCCTGTATCGCGTTACTTGAAAGTTGCAGGGGGTGAACATGCGGCTGACTCCCCTCTCCTGCCCTTCTCTCTCACAGGGCGAACCGCCGTCTCTCGATTCCCGAGGCCTTCCTGACTGCCGACGTGCTCCTGACGCTGCTGCAGAACATCAGCGAGGGCCTCGTCGTGTACCCGGCCATCATTGCGCGGCGCATTGCCGGCGAGCTGCCGTTCATGGCGACGGAGAACATCATCATGGCCATGGTGCGCGCCGGCGGCGACCGGCAGGTGTGCCACGAGAAGATTCGCGTCCTCTCGCACCAGGCGGCCCAGGTCGTCAAGGAGCAGGGCGGCGAGAACGACCTCATCGAGCGCGTGCGCAGCGAGCCGTACTTTGCGCCCATCGTGCCGCGCCTCGCCGAGCTGCTCGACCCAAAGAGCTTCACCGGACGCGCGGAACAGCAGGTCGACAGCTTCCTGCGAAAGTGGGTCAACCCCGCCCTCGAGCCGTACCGCCAGGGCTTCGCGGGCGCAGCAAAGGCAGATCTGGCCGTCTAAGGCGCGCCGCGCTGCCGTTGTTGCGCAAGACGAGGAGGGCGAGATGTGGGATGCACACGCGGATGGGGGAGGGGGGCGGGGCAGAGGGGGCAGAATGAGAATGTCGTATTAGAGTGCGTGTGGAGAGACATGATTGACGCAGCGAGATGAAAGCATGGGAGAATGGATGATGACGAGAGAGCATGATGCGGAAAGAATGCGCGTGGAGGTGGGGAAAGAGGTGTCGGATGAGTGCTGGAATGAGCTAGGAAATGGGTGAAGAGAACGTCGAGTAGGCAAAGAGAAGGGCGGCGGAGGGCGAGAGCTGTGAAGAGGCAAGATTCGGGACTCGCGCGGGGGGGGGGGGACGTTCTGCGGCGTCTTCAGAGGCCTGCCCTGTTCTCGAGCGTGGCGTGTGCAGCAGACGTTGCCGATGGAGGCGGCGCAGGGCTGCCCAGGCGGCACTTGCCCCATCCAAACGCAAGCTCCGAGTCTGCGGTGCGTCGTCTTCTGCGTCTCGGCTTGCCTTGCGCCGCCGCCTCCTCGCCGAGGCGCAGCGTCGCGTCGCCGTCGTGGAGCGCAGCGCCACCACTGCCCTGCGCCGTGGCGACGCGTCTGAGGCGCGTGCGCTTCAGCGCCGCACAGCCCGAGAGCTCGGCGTCGGAACGACATTGAGCGGACGGAGCGGGACGCGCGATTCTGATGGGCGCCGGTGGCGGTGGACTCGTAGTCTGCGTCGTCGTGGAGGAGCGAGAGGAGGCGCGGCGAGTGTCGGGTGCGAAATGAAGCGTCGGCGGCGGACGTGGAGGGAATGCGGAAGCGCCGAGGCCAGGACGAGAGTCGTTCTCGGTGTCGGTTGAGTGCGTGGATGCATCAGCATCGAGGGTTAGATGGAGAGGCCGATGCAGGAGATGTGAAGTGGGCGAAGAAGGCGCAGAGACGACACCGGCCGTCGGTGGGGGCACTGAGCGTGCCCGCTCGGGGCCATCGCGATGGTAAGCCGCTGCGACGGCGCGCGGAGAGAAGAACGGATTGCCCTTGCTGCCCGCACCGCTGTTGCTTGTGCCCGTGGCGAGCGGAGCAGATGGCGTCTGTTCGCCTTCCGACATGCCGCTCAGCTCCAGCGCGTGGCGCAGTCGATGCCATGCGTCTTCTCCACCTCCCGGACTCAGCGGTCGTTCGGCGCCGAGTCCAGCTACGGCTTGTAAGGTGCAAGCGGCCGCTGAGGGAGCTGCACGAGTAGCAGAGCCGGAAGAGAGCGATCGTTGATTGACGGAAGGCGTCATGCGAGAGGCGAAAGGCGAACGGCTTGAGGGACGTCGTTGACCGATGGTCCCGAGAGGGGAAGTCGGAGATCGCATGGGCTGAGGCGTGAAGCCAGGGCGCACGAGGCGAGTGCTTGGTGCAAACGAGCTGGTGCGTGAAGTTACCGTGCGTTGCGCTAGCGACAGCTCGCCTTCGCCGTCGCCGTTGCCGTATGTAGGTGAAGAGGGCGCCGAGTCTTCAAATGCAGATGGCAGTTGCGAAGTGGAGAGATGCAGCGGAGGCGCCAAGGGCGAACTCGTAATGTCCGCAGCGAATGCCAGCTGTTCCGAGCCCAAGTCTGTCTCCTTTGCGTCGTCGTCGTCGATGTCGTCGAGCATCTCAATCTCCTCTGCCTCGTCCGATTTGCCGCCACTCTCCGCCTCGCTGCCTTCCTCGCTGGCATCCTCCTCCTCCTCCTCCTCTTCCTCTTCAGACTGCGTCTCTTCCTCTTCCTCGTCGCTGTCCTCCTCCGTCTCACTGTCCTCCAAATAGCCATCTTCGTCTCCTCCCACACCCGGCGCCGGGCTTCCACCAGCGCGTCCTCTCATGCCCCTCAGTCGTTCCCTCTGACTGAGCATCGTCGGCGCCGGCGATCCGCACGTTCGCTTGCGCAGCGCTGCGCCTCTTGGACTTCTTGCAGGTAGAGCCAACGTGACGTGTCGTCCTCCTCGTGGCGCAGCAGCGACGGCATCGATATAAGGCGCTTCATCATCTGTGCCTTCGTCGATCGAGCGTGCCGCATCGCGCTGAAGCGACAGCAGTGCCTCTCCTCTTGCAGCACCTTTGCCAAGCGTTCGTCTCCGCTCCTCGACTTCTCCCGTCGAGGGCGACGCCGCAAACTTGAGTGTCCTCCCCCGAGCTGCCTCGCCCGCACGGCAGAAGCGCAGCGACGGCGCGCGCGTCACGGTTGCGCCGCTTGCGCGGCTGTTGAGCGCAGGAGGCGAATGCGCGTGCACGCCGAGGGCCAAGGCGATGGGCGCAGGAGACGTGCTTTCAAGACTGCGAGAGGGCGGCGAGAGATCGGAAGGATGAGGGCGCGAGGAAGATTCTCCTCCGCTTTGCGATGGCCATGCAGTGAGAGCATGGTGATGTCGTCCTGCAGTTGCAGCTGCAACGACGTCTACATCGTCGTCCTCGGATGCAGGCGAGGAGTAAGAGAGCGAGACGTGGGCCATCGACGCTGCTGGAGGAGAAGGCGAACGCCGAGCAGAGGAGTGTCGTCGCGCCATAGGCGCTGCATCGGCAAACATCAACGAACGACGCTTGCCTCCTGCTGCTGCTGCTGCGGCTGCGCTCGGAGATGGGGGCGCAGCAGGTGTACGTGCGGCGGTCGCATCTTGCCGCGGCGCCAGGGCTCGACTTCTGCTCGTCGAGTCGGGCGAGCAAGGCGGTGCTGCATCTTGAAACACCAACGAACGTCGGTTCTGTGCAGGCTGCAGTGGTGCCTCGAGCGTTGAAGGGCCAGCGTGTGCGGCGCCCTCTGCGCCGCCGTCCTGCGTTATGCGCGCAGAACAGTCGCGCAGCAGGATGGGATGCAGTGGCGCAGCGGGAATGCCAGCGCCAATGTTGCCCTCGGAGAGATAGTCGGGCGACGCAGAGAGCAAGTGAGCGGTGGCGACTGCGGCTGCGCTGGGATGATAGGGCAGCGACACTCGTCGACTAGGCCCCGGCGCCGGCTCGAGGAAGTGCGCGCGCGCTTTGCTGGCGCTGAAGGGGAAGAGGGGTGTAAGCCTCGATGAACGAAGAGGCGAGATAGCCAGCTCGGAGGGCGAAAACTCACCCAGTGCTATCACCCGACGCCTGTCGCTGCGCCTCGCCTTTCCTCAAGATGCCACATCCGCCCGCGTTCTGCTGCTGCTGCTGGATACGTCCATGCTCGTCGAGCAAGCGGGCACTCAGCAGGCTCATCTGCGGCGGCGAGGCGACATGCAGTGTGCCTTTGGCAGCTGGAGGAGGGCATTCGCACGTGCTCGCATGGCTCGAGAGCGAGTGCCGCGCTCGCTCTGCGGCACTCGTGCTCTCTGCCGCCGAGTTGTACGCGCTGGCACTGGCACTGGCACTGGCGCTGGCACTGGCATCGGTGTCGGAGCGCGAGAGACTGGGCGTGCGCAGCTGCGTGCGCGTCGATGTCGAGGGCGAGCTGGGCGCCCCGACGCCGGTGCCGCCGCTGTGCGCGCCGTGACGGCCTGCCAGAGCATGGCTGCTGGACGAAGGCGAGAGCGGAGAGAGGGGCGAATGCAGTCCGCGCGGTGCGGGCAGCGGACGCTTGGAGAAGACTAGTGGATCAAAGCGTGGCGGCGGCGGCGCAGCGGCGGCGGCCTCGTCGTGCGGTGCAGATCGCGCCGGCATGGCCGTCGCTGTCGCCGCCCTGGCGCACGGACGAGGAGATCGGAGAGCGTCGCTCAGGACAGAGCGACGGTGCTACGCATGGCACGATGACCGATGGACTCGGCGAAAGCTGGCGCGGGCGATGGAGAGGCGGCAGAGGGCTGGCGTGACGCAGACGAGAGGTGGCGGCGAGACGGCTGCGGCTGCGGCTGCGTGGCTGGACGTGCACTGACGCGGCGTGCGGCGGTGCGGCTACGAAGCGCAGAGGCAGGTGTCGAGGACGGAGAGAGGCAGAGCGTGGTAGAGAGAGGGAGTGGGTTGGGCTGCCTTGCTGATCGGCCATGAGGGAGCAGGCTCAGCCGCGGGCGCACAGCGCAGCATCTGCGGCGCGCGCAGGCCGGCCGCGGCGGCATCTCCGTGCGCGCGCAGCCGAGCTCAAAGCGGCGCGGCGCCTCCTCGGTGACGTCGCAAGAGTCGAATTCAGGCCATTCCCGCGGTCTATTCGCAGGAGCACTTCGCCCTCCGTGGTCGAGACTGAGCTCAGCAAAGTGCACTTGAGGTGCACTCTCTCCTGTCACGGCTGCACGAATAGCATCAGCAGGCGGCCGCAGCAAGCAGGGGCATGGCAAGGAGGGGCAGAGGAGGCATGAGGGCGCCTCGGACGTCCGGACCTGCAGCCGAGGCTGGCCGCGGCGTGCCTGCATCTCTGCGCTCTGCGCGCGAACCTCTGTGAGGCTGGGTGCTGCTGCAGGCTGCGAGAGCGCGTGATTTCCGAGGGGGCGCTCCTCGATCCTCGCTCGTTCGTCAAGATGGCGCTGGCTTGGCGTGCCTTGCGTGCCGCAGCATGCGCTGAAGCATGACAACAACGAGGCCTGCACGCGCGCTGCTGCCTCACAAGCAGCCGCAGCAGCAGACGCAGCACTCGCGCGGCCACAGCCAGGCTGCGGCGGCAGTAGCACGAGGCGAAGCAGGGCGTGCTCGAGCCCTGCAGCGCCGGCGGCCCTCGCTCCACGTGGCCGGGCCCACCGTTGGCCCGTCTAGTTCGGCCCAGCATCGCCGGCGCGAATGAATCGTGGCCCTCTTCAGCGGCAGCTTGTTCTCGCTGTCGGGCGCCGAGGAGGGTGCGGCGATCCCCCTCAGTTGCAGCGACGGGCCAACGGAGCGACAGGGCCCGACGGGAGATTCGCGAGAAGGGCGGGTCGCTCTCGCACGCGCCGTGCCGCAGCGGCCGTGTGTAGCGGTGCCTTCTGCTCGCCGCTCTGCCTCGCGCTCCTGCGCTCCTGACTCTTACTGGCGCAACGACAGCACGGAAGCCAGCGCACGAGAAGAAAGGATGCTGGCAACGCAACACGGCGCGGACGCCTGCCCGTGCATAGACTCCTGTGACTGCGTGGAGACACTCTGACGGATGCCAGCTCGGCGCTACGGTCGGTCGTCGAGCGTGCCTTCGCTCTTCACCCCCATGCTTGATGATCACGCATCGATTGCTCCAGCCTGCGCCTGTCTAGCCCAGCGTCTCTGCACCGCCTCTTTTGTCGAATTTGCCGCGCTCGTCGACTTGTTCTGCTTCCCATCCACTCCCTTGTCGGCCACTCCCTCCTCCAACTGACCCTCTTCATCCTCCCTGCTCGCAGGCGTGCCGCGTCTCCACTGTGCCTTGGCCTTGCGTACCATGCGATGCGGGCGGCACAGCGCAGCTCCCGCGGCATCTCGGCGATTGAGAGGCGATGCCTCGCCTTGGAAGATGCAAATGTCGTATACGAGACAGCCGAGCAATGCTCCACCGATGGTCCCGACGATCGGTCCGTAGAGCCACCAGTGCGAATTGTGCGTCCACACGGCCGACTCGTAGCCGACGCACGACAGAAAGACGCGTGGCCCAAAGTCACGCCTGTCGTCAAAGAGGAGAGGGAGGAGTGAGCGGAGGGAGATGGCCGGACTGCCACTAGCGCGCCCAACTGACGCTGCATTGATGGCGTAGCCGCTCTGCCGTCGCCGAGCGTCAGCAAGCTGCTTACTGAGACGGGTCGACAGGTTTGAGTCACTCACCTGCCAGCCCATCGCCATGCCCTGCAACAAATACGTCAGCCTAGCTACGACCCCAGGGCAATGCAGACGCCATGGGCAAGCAGATACAGGACACTCACGATCATCGTGACAGCGAGGCCAATGATGAGACCACTCATGCCGTCGCCCGGCGGCGAATTGCTCTCATCTCCCACGCACAGCACAAGCATGGCAAGGATTGCACTGGCGACGAGCTCGGTGGCGAATGTCGAGGCAGGCGTTGTGTAAGGTGCAGGCACCGTAGTGAAGAGACTGCCCGTCTCGCCTTCTCCCACAATTGTGCGCATGCCGACGCCGGCGGCACCCTGGTAGCGCTCGATGCTCGGCAGATACATGGCGTAGGTGAGCGCGGCGCCGAGGAAGGAGCCAAGTAGCTGTGCGGCGAGATAGCTCGGCACAAGCCTCCAGGGGAAACCTCGGAAGAAGGCGAGCGAGATGGTGATGCCCGGATTGGCGTGCGCACCTGAAATGCCGCCGGCGAGATGAATGGTGCACATGACTGCGAGACCCCAAGCCCAGTTCTGAGAGGCATACGAGCCGGCAGCCGATGATGGCGAGAGGCTTTGCGAAAGCTTGACTTGACAGTTGACAGACGTGCCGACTGCCAGCAGCAGCGTGCTGGCCACGAGCTCGGCGAGAAACTCGCGCATGCGCCAGCGCAGATGCCAGAGCGAACTGCGCAGACGACGAGAGGCAATCGAGCCGGCCTGCGTGTGGCGAGAGGTGCCGAGCGAGAAGGCCGTGTCGTCGACGGCACCGGCGGCGGTGGCGTTCGGGATTGATGAGGCGCCATCATCGTCGGCAATACTGCCCGCTACGGTGCTTGCGCGAGAGTCGTGGCCGTCGCTGCCCTCGTCTCCTCGCCGGTGCGGTGCAGGACGCATCGACGGCTGCGAAGGCATGACCTGTCCACCGGGAAAGTGACTCGGTCCTGCAAACTTGCCTCCCTCTGCTCCCCTTCTTCCCTCCGACGATCCGCCTCGTCCTGATGAGCCCGAAGGCACACTCGTTGCCTCGCCTTCCTGCACCGCAGCGAGTGGCGAATGGCCATCTGTGGCTGCCGCCGCGCTTTGCTGCGGTTGCTGCTCTCCGTGTCCTGCCTCAGACTGACGACCTTGCGTGCGCTCGTATCGCTGACTCGTCTGCCTGCGAAGAGCTTCCAGCGCTCCAGGCCCACCTGCTTTTCTTCCCCCTCGTTCGCTAGGCACGCGATGTCCTCCCAAGCCCGGATGAGCGCCATGGCGCTTGGCGCTGCCGCCGACTGCCTCGTCAATCGCACTAGTGCTGCCTCCTCGACCCGCTGCGTCCGCCTGGCTACTCGCGCCATGCAGCGCTTGAAGTGCTTGTGAAAGCTCCTCGAGCGTTGCTGCACGCGCCATCTGAGCGCCCTCGAGGCGAGCATTCTCGAGCGCCTCGCGCTGCTGCTTCTGCTGCTGCTGTGACTGCGGCTGCGGCTGCTCTTGCGTGCCCTCGGCAGCGGCCTGCCCTGCCCTTGCGCTTTGGGACTCGCGCCTCGAGGCGAAGTCATGCGCTAAGACGGCGTGTTTCGATGAGTCTGCTTGCGTGCTGCTCCAAGGAGACGCTGGTCGATGCTGATGGGCCCTCTCTGCCTCGGACGTGGAGCACGAAACGTGTTCGGCGGCGGAACGCTGCCCATAAGTGCGGGAAGCGCAAGGGATGTGTCGCTCCTCTTCTCGCCTTGCCTGCGGCTGCGGCAACCTCGCTGCCGATGCTGCGCGGGCCTGCCGGGGAGGCGACGAGGCGCGGCGAGGCCTGCTGCTGCTGCTGCTGCTGCTGCTGCTGCTGCTGCTGCTGCTGCTACTGCTGCTGCTGCTGCTGTCGTTGTCTTTCTTGCTGGCGCCGGTGCCGTGCAGCGTCAGATGGGCGGCATCAAAGGGATCCGACCGCTCGCTCAGCCGCGTCGTTGGCGAGTGCTGAGGCCAGTGGCGTGCAGTGTGCCGCAACACTGCCGACGGTGACGACAGCGGCGGCGGCGGCGGCGGCGCTGAAGAAGCGGACGTGGGAGGAGTGGCTCTTGCGAGCGCCTCGTCGGTGGCGGCATCGCGACGGCGCGAGGGCACGGCAAGCAAGGCACTGCGACTGCGACTGGAGAGGCTGCGTGGACGCTGTGGCTGCGGCTGCGGCTGCGGCTGCGGTGCGGCAGCATTGGCTGCTGGCATGGCGGCCGTGTGCCGCGTGTGAGATGGTGAGTCAGAGTTGGAGTAGAAGAGTAGAAGAGGTGTGAGGCAGAGAGAGAGAGGGTTCTCGGGCAGCTTCAACGTACAAAGCGCACCAGCAACTCTGACTGCACGCTCGTGGGCAAAGCGAGCAAGAAGAGAGGGCAATAGAATGTAAGGCCCTATCGTCCCGGCTCCCTCGGCTCTTGCCCTGCGCCTTGCCGGCGGTAGCGCGGTGCCGCTCATCGCGACGCAGCGCAGCGGCACCGCCGGCACGGGGCCTTGCGAGCAAGCATGCGCTGCAGCGGCAGCCAAGGGTCTTTGCTGCGCTGCGAGCGCGGCCGCGTCGCTGCTAGCGTCAGTCGAGTTGCTGCCCGAGGTTGCGCTGAAGAGAAGAGCAGCAGCAGACGCCAGCCCGATCGTGACGTGTGCGAAGTCAGAGTGCCGCGGCTCAAGGTCCAAATTTGGGGCCCTCAGACGCGATGTGGAGGGCAGGGCGCAGGCGGGCCGCCGCCTTCGCGCGCGCGTCTCGCCGCTCGACGCACGAACGTCGAGGGCCGCAGCCGCTACAAGTACACGCAGGCACGCACGACAGTATGCGTGGCAATGCCGCTTGCAGGACGGGAAGCTGGACAAGAGAGAGAAGGAAGAGAGAGCAGACGCATCGTTGCTGCAGTCGTGCCTGCAGCGCGCCGAATAGGGGATAGGGAGAAGAAGAGCCGTGGGTCATCGTCTCGCCTCTCGCCTCCTGCCTCTCGCGCTCAGAAGGCGCGTCGACCGCGCGTGTCGTATGGCAGCAGTGCGAGGGCGATGGGACAGACGAGCGTAATGCTGCCTCCCAGGTACAGCTGTCGAAGAGCCACTCATCAGCCACAGTCGATCCCACAGCGTCGCGCCATCGCACGGAAAGCGGGCCAGGGTGGGGGGGGGGGGGGGGGGAAAGACGCACCACATGTTTCGCGTTCTCGGCGCTCGTCATGCCACCCGCACTGTAGAGCGGGCCGGCGATCAGAGGCGCCACGATGCCTGCAATGCGTCCAAGCGTCGAGGTGAGGCCCGACGCTGTGCCTCGCACGCTCGAGGGATACGCCTCGGGCAGGAACGCGTAGAGAATGCAGTTGAACAGCTGCGACGGAGCAAGGGCACGCAGGCATCAGCCGTCGGCTCCAGCGAGTAGCAGAGGGGAGGCAGGAGGACAACGCACGCTCTGCATAAAGTACTCCAGAGCGTTGAGGCCCACACTGCCAGCTTGAGTCGTGACGATGGTGTAGAGAAAGAACGAGACGGCCATGAGTGCCGAGGAGACGACCATGCTCCATTGTCGGCCGACGCGCGGAATCTCGATGAGGCACGCGCCGAGGAGACACGCTGTCGAGAGAGCGTGGAGTGAGCAGGCGATGCCAGAGGAGAGAGGAAGGCGCAACGAACCGGCAATGCCAGGGGCATAGATGGCGATGTAACTGTAGCCGCGAGAATCAGCAGCTGGAAGGCCAGGCGTACGAGGCAGCAAGACGCACTCGCGGTACGTCTCGCTCAAGTCGCGCCCGTCTCGGATGCCCTGATCGGCCAGGATCTGTGGGAGGTAGAATCCGGCGATTGAGAATCTGTGACGCAGCGCACGAGTGTGTCAGCAAGAGTGAGAAGTGCGCGTTACAATGCGAAAGGGAGGAGGGGGTGGAAAGAAGGCGCACCCGAAGAAGTCTGTTGGATGGAGCGAGAGCGTCAGTAACAGCTGTAGCCAAGTCACATCAGGCAAGAGAGACTCACCGCAGATGAACGTGATCCAGAGGATGATCGTCACCCGCCTGTGCAAGAAGGACTGGTCAGCGTGCTTGCCCGCATCCCCACCTGCTCGCACGGGCCTGTGTCACTCACGCCATCGTCTTGTTCTGGAACAGCACGCGCACATTTCCCAGCTGCCTGAGTCGAGCGCCACCCATCTTCTTAAGCGCCTCCATTCTCGTCAACGGGCGACCAGGGCTGCTCTCCTGCACGTGCAGCACCTCTCCATTGGCGGCGCACTTGCGGTCAATCTCCTCAAAGTCCTCCATGCCAAACACCGGCGGCGGATGTTTGTTCGTCTTTGCGATGTTCTGCACCACCTTCAGTGCCCTCGCGTCGTGGCCCAAGTTGACGAGGAAGGCGGGCGACTCGTAGAACGTAAAGATAACGAAGCGAGCAATGAAGATGAGCAGCGTAATGCCGCCGCATGCGAAGAGGAGGTAGCGCCATCCTCGATTGTCTTGCATGCGACAGACGATGCCTTCGGCACTGCCGCCGCCGCACGAATAGCTGCGTTGATGGGCGAGGGCATGAGCGGTGAGAGGTCCTGAGACTGCTTGCGCCGGCCGAGCAGCAATCACTCACGGAGGGATGAAGGCGTACGCCAGGCCGCACGCCACGAGCACGCCCACGGGCTGGAAGAGCGAGAGAAGCGCCAGCAACCATCTGCGGTTGGTCGGCAGGAACTCGAGGCAGATGGTGGCGTCGATGGGAATGTTGCCTCCGACTCCCAGGCCCGCCAGGGCAGTGAGGACCCGCAGCGTCGTAAAGTTCTGCGAGCCGCCCGCGGCAATGCCAAAGATGCTGGAGAGGAGACAGGTGAAGTAGAAGCTCCACTTGCGCCCAACGACGTCGACCAGAATGCCCCAGGAGAAGGCACCGACGGTCAGGCCGACATTGAACGCCGTGGAGAGAGTGCCGATGTTGACGTCGCTCGCGCCGAAGTTGGGCTCGTTCTTGAGCGGCACGGAGATGAGGCCGTACGCCTGCGCGAAGAGCAGGTCGATGAAGAAGCCCAGTCCGCAGAGTGCGAACGTGCACCACTGGTAGCGTCCCATACCCATGCGGTCGAGCTGCAGGGCACAGTGTCAGCCAGAAAGGGGCGGAGGCGCACCCCAGGCGAGGGCGGTGCTGCCGGCGCGCGTAGCTGGCGCGCCTTCCCTACAAATGCAAGCCTATCCCTTAACCTCGCTCTCCGCCCTCTCGCCTCCTTCCCGTCGCTCTCTCCGCGCTCATCCTCTCTCTGCACTTACTTCTGCACTGATTAGCAGGCATTTGTTCTCCCTAGCTGTCTTGCTCTCATCGAACAAATCGGCCGCTGTGAGGCCGTCTCTGCTCGCTCGCGCCCGATCCACCAACACATCCGCATCCGAGCCCTTGCGTCCGCCCTTTCCCTTCCCTTTGCTATCAAGCGACGCTCTACGCTCCTCGCCCTCGTCGTACGATGCGGCGCGCTGAGGTGCGGCGGGAGAAGTAGAAGACATGGCGCGCAAAGCTACGGCGTTGGAGCCCTCGGAGAAGGAGAGAAGTGCGTCGTTGGAGTCGTGAGAGGAGAGAGAGCTGGAGGCGGAGAAGGGCGACTCGGAGCGAGGGTGCGAGCGCAGAGGCATGTGCTTTTGCCCTCTCGAGAGAGAGAGGCGCTGCGTGCCGGGCGAAGTGGAGGGCAGACGCGTGCGTGAGGGCGCTGCTTGGCGGTGAGGGTAAGGATGGTGGTGAGAAGCCAAGCGTCGCGAGCGCTGTCGTCGATGCGTCGGCTGAGTTGCTGCTGGTCGCTTTGTGCATTCGGGCTCCGAAGAGATGCAAGACGCCGCGGGAGAGAAAGAGAGAGGAGGGGAGCGGTGATGCTGACGAAGCGAAGGCCCGAAGCACGCTAGCGTGCATTTCAGGGCGGGGCGCAGCACGAGGGCGGACGACCCTGCAGCCGCGCTGCAGCGCATGCCGCATCGGGCGCAGAAGCACAGGCAGCTCCCAACAGCTGCTGCTGTCGAGCTCTCAAGGTCATGTCGCGGCTCTGCAAAGCTTTGTTCCTCTCAAGCTGCTCCTGCAGCTCCCTCTTCGGCGGTGCCGTCTCGGCCAAGCTCCTCAGGGCCCTCCATCATCTCTGATGGGGTCTAGCGCACGAGCCCCACTTTGCTTCTCCATCCGACGCGACGCGCCTCGCTCGGCCTGTGCGGCTAGATGGTCGTGGGAACAGCTGCCTTGAAGCTTACTCGCTCGAGAAGTAGCCTCGCTTGCGCTGCTGCAGGCTGCTGAGACTAGACTCGACTGGGCTGCGTGCTGAGCCCCAAGGCGTCGGAGGCGTCGAAGAGCGTAGATGCAGCCTCAGAGGAATGCCCGGCGGCTGCCGTGTGAGCCCTTGCCGCTGCAGCGTTGCGCCGCCATGCAAGCTGCGAGCTGCGCCCTCGACGCCTCTCGACGTGCCGACGGGTGCCGAGGGGCTTGTTGCGCGTTTGGCTGCGTCTTGGCGACGCGCGACATGCGAGGGCGCGTGGGAAGCGGCGCGAGTTGTTGCGTGTTGTCTCGTGGCGGAGCTTTGACGTCACCTGCCGCTTCAGGGGTTGTCGAGCAGCGGCAGCAAGAGTGTCGCTGCGTCTGCACGTCGGCTGCTTGCGCTCCGAGGCGGTGCCGAGACGGCAGCGCACGCCGCAGGGGCAGCGAGGCAAGGCGGCAGAGCTCGGCCGTATGGAGGATAGGGGGGCCGTCGGAGCGACACACAGCGACAGCCGTCTCGACTCGCGACTGTGCACAGCCGCCAGCGGCCAGCAGCACGAGTCTCGCAGTCCTACGAGGCTCGCCTCTCCTCTGCTCTCCCCACCACCACTCTTGCCGCCCCTGAAGCTGTGCAGCCCTCGCCCTCGCTTCTCAAGGCGCTCGAGGCCATCTCCTCCTCGCTGCGCCGGCCGCCATGTCCTCCTCCTCGCATCTGTCACGCCCCCACGCGCGTCATCGACCTCAATCCCTGCCCTTCGTGCCTTGCGCCGCTCCGTTTCTGCCCAGCTTCGCCTCTCTCATCGACTCAAGCCGCGCCAGCTCCACCTTGCACACCGGCAACAATGCAGACAGCAGCAGTCACTCCTCCGTCTCGGCATTCACGCCTCTCTCACCCGCACTCGCCTCTCTCTCGCCCACGTTCCAGCACGATGCCACACGGCGCTCCTCCAACTCCTCCTCCTCCAGCAGCGGCACCCTGACTTCACACGCTTCGCTGCGCACTCCCCGCGCACGCGCCCATTCTGCAGACGAAGCCAAGACGCCTACGTTGGCGTCTTGCTCTCAGCAGCAGGCGCAGGCGCAGGCGCAGACGTATGAGAACGGCATGCCTTCTGCGAGGACGTGGGATGCACTGATGCAGCGTTCGAGTGCGCCGCCGATGCTCAGTCTCACCAGTCCCTCCTCCTCCTCGACGCCACGACCCATCCATGCGCCGTGCAGCTCGGCGCTGGAAGCCAGACGCCTGCGCACTGCTCTTGCCGCTTCTGCCTCGAGCGCGACTGGCAATGCCCACTCCTCCGCGAGGGAGCGCGAGGAGGCGAAGAGCTACGCGGCTGACGAGGCGCAAGTTGCCCGGCTGGCGGCCGAAGCATGGGCGATTGTGGGAAGGGCAAAAGGAACGGATGGAGTAGCGCATGCATTTCTACGGGCTTGGTCAGTCCTCTCCTCCTCTCTTCTTCATTTCTGGCGCTGACACGGCTGCGCTTTTGCAGGTTGCAAGCCTCCTACGCCCCTGCCTCTCCCTCCTCACCTCGCGCAGAGCCGGCCGTAGTGCGCCGCGCCGCGCTCGTGCGCTCGTACGAGCTCGCGTGTGCGTCGGTGGGGCTCGAGCCACTGACGAAGCCCGTGGTGGGCAAGATGGTGCTGGCCGTCTTTGTTGGACTGAAGACGAAGAGATTGGGCCCGCGTGGTGGGAGCTTGGCGCACTGTGAGTGCCCCGCCACTTTACTTCCCTGAACACCGGCTGACGAGGGATCGAGTTGGCAGACATCGACTTCGCGCCTCTCACGTTACTCGAGCGTGATCAGCTCAGCGAGGCAGGTCGACAGCTCAATCTCGAGGCAGCTGAGCAAGCGCAAGAGGCTCAAGGCGGCAAGGGTTCCAGCAAACGACAGCGTGCGGTCTCAGCTTCCTCCTCCGCGTCGGACTGCAGCAGCAGCAGTGAAGATTCCTCCGTCGCCAACGTCGCCCCTCGGTCGCTGCTTCGCCATTCGACGCGAGACGGAGCTACCACGACTGAAGCGTCGACAGTGATGTCGAACGACTCGATGCAGATGGACGTCGACGACGGGCAAGCTTCGTCCGCGTTCTCTTACGCTCACTTGGACGCTGAAGAGGAACTCAGGCGTCGCCTCCATGGCCCGAGCAGCACACTGAAGCGCACTGGCTCAGCGCAATTCTTCTTCGCTGGCGAGGAAGACGAAGGTGCCTCACCCGACGCCGACGCCGCGATGCCGATACATCACGGAGGCGAGCCCTCGCAGCACCAGTCGGACCTGTTGCGTGCTGTAGCAGCCTATGCCACCGTCGGTGCTCTGCCCGCACACAGTCCAGACCACACACCTCGACTCTCCTCTCGTGCCTCTCCGATCAAGGCAGCGCTGGCTTCTTCTCTCCTTCACTCCGCCGACGATGACCCCGACGCCGATGAAGAGTTTCCTCCTCGCACCTCCTCTCGTCGACGCGTCCGCTCGCGCACTTCTTCCTCGGCCCTCTCCGAGGCGTGCTACGCTGCGCACGCTGGCGCCGCGGCGCAGAGAGCTGTGAGAGCGATCAGCGGATGGCCTCAGGTGCAGGAGCTGCAGCTGGATGGAATGGGGTTGATGACGTGGGAAGAGATTGAGGTCGGTTGCGAAAGGATGTTGCGCGCATTCAGGGAGCTGGCGTTTGACGAGGTGAGTGCCGCCGCCTTTGTCCCCTCGCTTCCTCCTGGTCTTTGCACGACCTCTACAGCCCTTCTAACGGATTATTTTCTGCTCTCGCCGCAGTTCAAAGCAGCAGCGACGTCGCTCTATACCGAGCTTCCGCGCGAGGCGCTCTGGGCGATCTGGGGTTCTTCGCATCTCTGCGATGCAATCCTGTCAGCCGAGCGAGCTCTTTACGAAGTGCGACCCTTTTCCGTCCTTCCGCTCTCCCACATCCGCTCACTCCCTCTATCGCAGCATCTCCTCCGATTCCTGGATGAGCACATCTCCGATCCGCCCATCGAGGTCGTATGCTCCGCGCTCAGAGATCTGGCAGTCAGCTTCCCCACGGAAGTGCAGGCGTCGCTGCAAGGCTCGGGATCGAGAGGTCGCTTTCCCGATGCGTTCGTCGTGAGCCGCACGGAACTTGCGTGGCGGTGGTGCGAGTGCCTCTGTGAGTGCCCTCATCCCCCTCCCCGCGAGGCAGACAAGCAGAGCCATCGCTGACGCGTGCCCTTCTCTCAGTGGCCGTCAACTCCATCTGGGCGGACATAGTCGAGCTACGCGCTCGCTTCTCCCTCTCCTCGTCGCACTGGGAGCGCTCGCCCACGCTCTCCACCGGCTCCACTTCTTCGAGCCTCAGTCTCAGCGCCGACGTCTCCGATGCCTTCAATCACTTCCAGCCTCATTCTCGCGACCAGAGTTGGGCCAGCATCGACAGTCCCTTCTCGGACGACGAGTCGCATCTCGAGTCGCCGCCTGCAAGCCTCGTGCTCGAGACGCGCAGCAACTTGAAGTGGCAACAGATGCGCGAGCGCTCCGTCTCTGCTCAGCAGCAGATGCAGCACGATGGCCTCGGACTCGAGAATCTCGGCCTGGACGAGCTCCAGGCACCGTCGGGCGCCGACTCGCAAATGATGTACGACGCTTCGCTCGCTCGTCTCGCATCACTCGCCTAGCCGCCGCCCCACCCGTCCCTCCCTTCTCTCTCGCAGCTCCGGCCCACTCTCTCCTCCTGCCCCAGCGCCTCTTTTCCTGTCCTCTCCGCTTCGCGTTGTCTTCTCCGCCCGCGTCACCACATCTCACGCCACGCTGTCCGCACCCGTCTCGCATCCTTCAAGCACGACCCGCGTCACCTTCCCGCAAGCCAGGCTGGCTCTCGGCTCACACCGCCTCTTCACTGCGTCCCCTCTCTCGCATGTCTCACGCCCCGCATGTCCGCATCCGTCGCATTGCGCTTGCAAGCCGCCGCATCACTCCGTGCCCTTCAAGCGCCCGCCGCACGGCGCCACCAGCTCTTGCGTGTGCGTTTCGCCGAGTTGCCGCTGGTGACGGTGCCGGAGAGGACGCTGTGCTGCGCTGCGCTCTCCTCGTCGCTCGAGGCAAAGCCGGCATGCGCGGCCGTCGTGCGGCTGCTGATGCTGCGGCGCGAGACGTGGCCACTGCCGGCCTCGAAGACGGGCGCAGGCGAAGAACGATCGCCGCGCGTGGTGCGCGAAGAGTGAGTCAAGCGCGACGTGTCGCTCGAGTGCCGTCGCCCCATGGGACGCAGTACGCTGTCCGCGCTCCGCCCGACGACGCCACTATTGCCTGGCGACACGCGCACGGGCGAGCGCGGCACGCGATGCGCAGGCGACGAGGAGGCGGCAAAGCTCTGGTATGCTGCGCGCAGCTCGTCGTCGGATTGCTCGTCGAGGTTGAGCGAGAGATTCGTGCTGCTGAAGCCGCCATCGCCACTGGCTTGCATGCTCTCGACGGAAGGCATGCGCGGCGTGATGTCAGGTGCAGGCGACGCCTCAATGAAAGGCGGCGGTGCCTGTTTGGTCGGTATCCGAGACGAGACTGTCGCGCGCCGAGAGCGGCCGGCGGAGCCTTGCCGATCGAAGCTTACCGTCGAGGCGTCTGGCTCTTGGTACGAGCCCGTCTGGCTACGCGAGCCCGTGATGATGCCCGGACTGCTGCGCAGCTCATTGTGCCCGCTGCCGCTCGCGCCGTTGACTGGCGTGACGCGACCCGTCGAGATGGAGGCCGACGTGGCGAGACGCGGATCCATGCCTGGCAGATGGCCGCGCGGCAGAGGCAGCGGCGCAGGATCGAAGCCTGCGAGATCGATTTCCGCGCCCGTCTCCTCCTCAATGTCGCAGCACAGATCGACAAAGTTGGCCAGCGCATCGGCCTCGGCTGCTGCACCGGCCTCGGCGCTCTGAGGCGGCGCGTCGGCCAGCACTTCCTCGCTCTGGCTCGTCGCGGCTGATCGCGCAGAGCGCGTCTCTTCATCGCTGCGCACCAGCTGCGCCGAGCGCACGACGTACGAGACCAGCGATGCGAGTGCCAGCGGGCGGTCCAGCAGGTACGTTGGCGTCGGAATCGACTCGCGGTGCAGCGGCGGCAACTTGGGCATGTGCCGCTGCACTGCCCGCTGCAGCGAGTAATCGTTCTCGTCGCCGAGAGGCATCGACTTGCTCTGCATCTCTTCGGGCGGCCGCGTCGAGACGGCAGTGATGTAGTCGTCAAATGCAGCGCCCTGCGTGCGCAGAAAGTCGTTGACTTGCACGAGCCACGGCTCCTTGTCCTTGTCGAACGCCGGGCGCTTGTTCGCCAGTGCCAGGAAGACCTTGGCGATCAGCATCAGCGTCTTGGCGCTGCGGATATCGGGCGCCACTGTAGGCAAAGGGGTGAGCAAGAAGTGTGCGCGAGAAGCGGATGGCTACATACCCGCAGTCAGGCCGTACAAGTGCGGCGTCGTAATAGCCGGACAGATGAGGCGCAGAAAGACGAAGGCACCGACACCCTGAAAGCCGGGACCAGGCTGCTTGACGCCGTTGAAGCGCGCATTGACCGTCGTGCGGATGTGGTTGAGAGCGCGGCGCAGATCACTGCGAGAATAGGATGAGCCATGAAGTTCTGCAGCTTACCTGCTCCGGCACTCACTGCGGACAGGCATGCCGGTTCCTGTAGATGCTCTCCCACACCTCGACGCAGAGACGCTTCAGCTGCTCCAGTGCGCCTCCCCGCGAGGCATCTGCAGGTCCGCCCTCGCTAGAGTGCGTCGACGAGCGACTCATGCTCGTGCTGATGGACTCGCCGCCTGCAGCTTGTCCCGAAGCAGTGCCAGGTCGAGCGTCCGAGCTGAACATTCCGCGATGCGATGCCTCTTCGTCGGCCTCAAGCCAGATGCGCTCCTCGACGATGCGTCGAACGATGCTGCCCACGGACACGTCTAGCCAGCCCGAGCAATACAGCCGCTGGAACTTGTCTAGACTGCGAGAGAGCAGCGTGTTGCCTCTGCGCCCAGGTGTGCTGTCAGAAGATGCACGAGTCTGGGATCGTGCGCCTCGCTCACCGGAAGAGAAGCTCAGGCTCAAGCTTGTCGCCAAACGCACTGCTCTCGACGTCGGCCAGGTCCGCGAGACGCTGCACGATGGTGCCTGAGCTCGTCCAGATGTCGACGAGATGTGTGATGAGCCGGTCCTCCTCGAGCTCCTTGGAGAGCGCGCGTACGAGAGAGACGCAATTTGGCGCATTCAGAGCCTGCCAGCAAGCCCGTGTCAGCTCGAGCGAGGCAGCGTCGGAGCCAACATCACTCACCTTCTCGACGCCCTGATACTTGGTGCGAGCGAGGATAGTCTCTTCGCGCACGCGGATGACCATTTTGAGTTCTCCAATCATCTCGCGGCCGTAGCTCAAGTCCGAGCGCGCGTTTGCCGCAGCCGCATCATCCACGCGTCGTTGGGCCCAAATCGGGAACCAGCCCTCCACATCTTCTCCTCTGCGCATCGTCTCTATCGGAATGTCGACCGAGCCGAGCAACGAGTACTTGCCTGTGCGCTGACTGCAGATGACGTCGACTTGCAACGAGGAGAGAGACGGTACCTCGGCCATGCAGAACTTCTCGACCCAGACGATGGAGCCCGTGCCGCTTGCGCGTACCTTGGTGCGAGCCACAACGGCGCCGTCGAGTAGGACGAGGCAGTAGCAGGCGGTGAAAGTGGGTGCCGTGCTAGGACCGGCAGTCTCGCCTAGGCTTCGTTGGCTGCGCGAAGGCGGCATGCCAGCTGGCATGGCAGCCGTAGCAGCCGTGCGCGCTGCGCCGGTCAGGCCGGAGATTGGGCCGCTCATCTCTTCCTCACTATCTGAGCCGGGTCCAGCGGCGATGGGCGAGATAGAGCCCCCAGCGCGGCCATTCTCGCTCGGGCCGAAACTGTCGATCGAAGTCGAGCGTCGCAGCGAGGCAGAGAAGCGCGCCAGCGAGCTCATCTGCTTCTCCGCCGCCAGTGCCGGCGAGGAGATGCTGGCTGCCGTTGGACTGCCGAAGACTTCTGCGCCGGGAGGCAGATCATTCAGGTGCCCTGGCTCGTCGCCGAATGCCACGACGTCCTCCGCCTCCTCGTCTTCTCTGCGCCTCAGGCGTCGCGCCAGGCCCTTGGCCTTACCAGAGCTGGCGTGCGAGCGCCCGTAGTCTGGCAACGGCAGCGGCGCGCGCGAAGTGTTGGGGAAGCGCGCCTCAAAGACGGTCATGTCGAGCTGCCGATAGCGTCGGTGTGTCGGCGTACTGCTGCCCGAGGGTCCGTAGAGCTCGGGCTCGGCAAACGTGCGCAGCAGCGAGCGCCAGCGCAGCAGCTTGGCGCGCGAGGGGAAGCAGAGGTAGATGGGCTCGGCTCGAGCTGCCTTCTCCGATGCGTTCAGCGCCTCGTTGGAGCTCGAGGCATGCGCTATCCTTGTGGCCGCTGCTGGCGTCCGGGCGCCAGAGGTGGAGAAGACGGAAGGCAGAGAGAAGATGCCGAGCACGTGCGGCTTGGTGAAGAGCGAGTCGTCGACGCGACGCACGTCGCTCGTCTGCAGTGACGGTGCATGGATCGAGTGCAGCAGTGCGCGATCCTGCGGAGCTGCCCTCAGCCGCTGTGGCTGGCGCCATCCTTCCCGTGCGACTCACCTCTCCAAAGATGCTCAGAATCCCATCGTCCCGGAACAGGATCGTGGCGCGTTTCCAGCCGGCCTTGCCGCCCGATGCCTCTGCGCTTGGCATTGCCAGCTTCGTCCGGCTCGGCTTCTCTGCAAGAGACGAGGTGCGCGATGGTCAAGTCTGCCCCCTTAGCAGCGCCATCGTCTGCGTCAAGGCCACTCACCTCTCAGCCAGCCAGTCGCGCCCTTGATGCCCGCAAAGCCAAGGCCTGACTTTCCCGCGCCCTCCCTGTCCGCCGTGCTCCACCCAGCATCGGCCTCGTCGATCTGCTGGTGGTGCAGATGGTGCGGCTGCAGCCCGCCGCTGGAGCCCGGCGGCGCACGCGAGTCGCGCTTGGTGAGCTTGCGCCGCACCTGCGGCACCTCGCGCAGCAGCGGCGCTCGCGAGAGGGCGGAGCTGCCCGAGGCGGCCGGCACACACCAGATGTGCACGGCGAGCGTCGCCTCTGCCCCGCTGCGAAGCGAAGAGCGAGCCTCAGCATCGTCCACGGACGTTGCGTGCGCGAGCCGGCCTGGCACTCACTGTGTCGGGGCGGGCGTGGGCGACGCAGCGCCGGCCGTGCGGGCGATGGGCGACGGCATGGTAGAGGAGCGAGCGGTGCTGGAGCTGCTGGCGCCGCCGGCCTGGCTCGAGCTGCTGCTGGCGATGGGCAGGAAGAGCGAGGGCACGACGCGCGTCGGCGGCGCGCTCATGGGCGCGCTGCTGCTGCGTCCAGTATGGGCAGCGCTGAGGGCTCAGGCGAGGAGCGGGAGCGAGGAGGAAGAGGTGAGCAGGGGTGATGAGAATTAGCGAGACGGAGAGAAGAGACGAGCGACGGGGGCCTGGGAGAAGAAGCGCGGGAATTAGGGGATGGGGGTCGAGACGCAGGAGCTCGAGCGCGGCGGGCGTGCCTCGCACAAAGCTCGGGCACCGGCATGCGCACCCCGTGGAAGCGCGGCGCCTGCGCTCGCGAGGCGCGCCTACTCAGACTTGACTACGCTCTCTGTGCCTGCCACGCCTCGAGCTCGCCGCGGCCAACGTCAAACATCGGCAAGGCCCCTCGTCATGAGCAGCGAGATACGGGCAAGGCGACGAAGCAGCACAGCACGTCGTCATGCCGCGTGGCCTCGCGACTGCGGGCGGGAGCTGGATATCATGCGATTGCTCTCCTCGGCAGGACGGCGCGAGGCAATGAGAGGAGTGACGGATTGAGAGGATCATGAAGAAGTGTGACAGGCGGCGCAAGAGGAGGGGACGCAGCCGGAGGAGGAACGAGGAGAAGAGAGGAGGGACTTGCGCAAGAGACGCAGGCAGACAACGTCCACCGCAGCCAGCTCAGGGGCGACGCTCAGTCGCCCTGCGCCAGCTTCTGCGCCTGCACCCAAGCGACTCGCTCGGCACGATACTGCTCGGCACGCAGCGCGGTGAGGCGCGAGTGTTCGCTGCCGCCTGGGAGAGAGGATGGCAGTCAGCAGCGGTGGAGCGCGAAGGTCTCTCTCTGCCGCGTTCACTCACTCCGACCGAGCGCCTGGAGCAGGCGGATGAGGCGGTCGCCAATGCCCCACATTGAGTCGATGACTGGTTGCGTAGCTGGCGGAGGCAGCGACTTCAGCAGCTGCACGCTGCGTCGGCAGTCTCCGCGCAGTGCAAGAGACCGGGCGGAAGGGGAATGACTCACTCAGCGGCGGCACCTTGTTGTGCGTCACAGGCTCAGCCCAGTATGGCTCCGGGCGATGCTGGACGAAGTGTTCGCGCCAGGCCTTCTGCGATGCTTCGACTTCCGCACCAATCGCGAAGGCCTGGCTGCACAGCTTGTGCAGATGCCGCGGCCAGCGCATCGCTCGGCTGATGTTGCCCAGCGTCACGCCAGCTGCCGTGCCTACCTCGCCGGGCACCGGTTCTTCGTGGTTCTCGAGCAGCTCGAGCGTCTTGCGCACCACGGCGTCGACCTCGAAGAGCGGCGCCATCGCTGCCGTCGAGGGATCCTTCGAGACGCGCAACAGCTCGCGGCGCTTGCGAGGCGGCGCAGGCGGCATGCCATCGCCCTCGACGGGAGAAATGCCGGCTGCTCCGCTGCGCAGCGTCTCGTACTGCGTCGAGAGATTGGGGCCAGGCTCCATGATGACCTTGAGCCGCAAGGATCCAGCGGCGCCGCCTCCTCCTTCATCCACTGCTTCGTTTGTGAAGTTCTGGTACAGCACGATGGCGGCGAAGAGGCGGTACGACATCAAGTCGATGACTCGCAGGTGCAGGAAAGCAGAGACGGCGAGCGGCATCTCGGTGCCGTCGAGCTTCGGCACAGGAATGCACGCCTTGGCCCACTGCAGCGTCTCCTCGATCTCGTCGACGGCCTTCTGCAAGTCCGGCTCGGCGCCCGTGCCGTTGAGCAGGTCCTCGAGCGGCGTGTTGAGCATGCGCAGAATGCGACCAAAGAGCAGAAACGCCACGTGCTGCACCGCACAGATGGACGTGTCGCTCGGCGTGGCGCCATTTGGCGGCGCCGCGGGTGGAGCCCACGCTGCACCGCGATGGATGGTGTTGTCGGCGCCCAGAAGGCTCACCTTGAGCGAGGAGAGATTGAACGTGTGCTTCGCAAAGTTGTCGTTGGACTGCGTCCAGACAAACGAGGTGCACACAACGACGACGCAGCGCCGCAGTGCCTCGCGATCGGCAGGGTGCAGCACAGCGTAGCGTGCGTCGAGAGGCCGCGGCATCGGCGTGCCCGGCGGCAACTCTGCATCGTACGGCGCGGCACCATCATCGTCGACGGCCTCCTCGGGCGACACGTGCGCCGGCAGGTCCATCAGGTGCAGATTCCACGCCTTGAGCACGCCGAAGAGCCAGGCCTTCATCTCGCCCATCGACGCCGTGCCGATGCCGTCTTCGGACGCAGCCATGTCGAGCGCATAGCCCGTAATGAGCAGCAGCGGATCTACCTCGCCGTCGGCGACGAGACGCAGCAGCGTGTCGTGCGCCAAGTTCCAGCAACGCCGAGCGAAGAGCAGGAGGCCATCCTTGAGTTCTTGATCGTGCGGTTGCTGATTCAGGTGGCTCAGATCTTCACCCATGCCTTGCTGCAGGCTCTCCAGGTCGCGCTGGCTGCGCACGCTCGGCAACAGCAGAGCGCGGTGCGCCAGGAGCGAGAGCAGCGCCAGCTGTGCATGCTGAGGCGGCGGCGGCGGCAGTGCGCCGTCTGCGTCGGGCACAGAGCCCCACAGGATGCGCGCGGGAAAGAGCTTCGTCGAGGCATCGAGGTCGGAGAACTGCGCCAGCGCCAGCGCGATGAATTGTCGATCGTTGTAGATGAACACGCCGCTCAGCTGGTCGATGAGCGAGAGCACGACGCTCCCTCTGCGCTCAGCAGAGAGCATGGGCGGTCTGTCGTAGACGCTGCCCTGCGACGACTGCCTCTCACGCGACTGTCTGCGCCCGCCCGAGCCTTGCGCTTGCGAGCGCTCGGAACGCGAAGAGCCGGGCGGCGCGTAAACCTGCGGATAGGGGCTGTTGGCGGCCCAGCTGCGCCCGAAGACGTCGAGACGCGCCGCTCGTGGGTCTTCATGCGAGGCAGGCATGGCTCGCCGCGGCGCGACGGGATCGGCGTACTCTGCATCCTGCGGGCGCGTGCGCAGGTCGGCGTACTCTACAGGCGCATAGCTCGACGCCGAGCCGGTGGAGCCCGTGGCTGGCGACGCCGGGATCTGGTTCCACGGCAGCCGTTCAAGAGAGCTGGCGTGCCCTCGGTAGTAGTCCTGCGGGCCTGGGCCGGGCGGGTACTCGTACGCAGGCGGCCGATGGCTTGCGGGATAGTGGGCAGAGTAGCCGCTCGAGCCGCCGGGCGAAGGCGGGTAAGGTCGATCTGGATGCAGACTCTGGCGCCTGAGGAAGTTGCCGTTGCTGAACAGAGCGTGCTGCGCATATGCAGCCTGCTCCTCCTGCGCCGTGCCGCTGGCACCGGAGCGTTCGCTCGAGACGGAGCCTGGCGCACCAGGAAACCCTGCTGAGATGCTCCCGTTGCTCGCGTCGCCGTCGCCGTTCAGCGACGTCGCGGCGCCCTTGGCAGCGAGATACGCAGAGCCGGCGCTGCGTTCGCTGCGAGGCGCGCCCTTGACTGCAGGCGTAGCACGCTTGGCCCTGGCAGTGCCAGCGGCGGCGCCACTGGCCTTGCGCCCTTCCTCCGGCGCCTTGGCCTTGGGTCCACGCGGCTTGCGGTCCCACACGAAGACGCACAGCTCGAGGGCGCGCGCCTGTACGGCCTCGGCTGAAGGCGCCGAGCTGCCGCGAGGCAGCGAAGAGCGCGCCTTGGAGAGACAGGCAGAGCAAGGGTGCTCGCCGTTGCAGCGGGCCTGTGGGCAAGGGTCAGCTCGGCGCCAGCATCTGCGGGCCGCGAGAGGACGCACCTTGCGCGTTCGACATGACTCGCACGCCGCCCAGATCTGATGGACGAGCGGCCGTGTCAGCGACCACACCCATCGCTTGGCCAGCGCGCACACTCACTCGGCGCCGCTTGCCCGCCTCGCCCGCCTCCTCCTCGGGCTGCGCCTTTGCGCCCGCGCCGCCCTCATGCCCGACGCCGTTCAGCACCGACGGCGGCGTGCCGGCACTGCGCGACGTGGATGCGACCGACGAGGCCATTGCCGCGAGGTGGGGAGCACTGGCGCGAGCAGATCACGCGCTGCGGCCGGCCGACGGCGACGAGAGCGGGCGAAGTGCGCTCGACGCGCCTGGCTCAGCACGCGCGTCGCAGCACCCGGTCGCGGGCGCAGGCCGCTGAAGAGTGCGACGTCGCGCTGTGTCGGAGAACAGCGGGTGTGGTGCAGCGAAGAGGTGGCGAGGCGAAGAAGGAGAGAACGGAGAGCGGCGTGTGTTGTGGCAGCAGATGGAGATGTGCGGGCGGCGGATGCGTGAGAGGTGGAGACGGATAAATCACGCGCGGCCGCAGCACCCAGCAGGGACTCTACTGTGCCGCTATACGGAGATAGGCCAGGGTGTGGGGCCAGCTCAGGAGAAACGAGCTGCGAAGAGGGGGCGGTGACTGGGAACGGAGCTGGGCGTGCGAGAGGGCGGGCGTGTGTGGGAGCGAGGAAAAGAAAAGGCGAGGTCGCCGCCGTCGGGATGCCAAAATGACGAGGCGAGGGTCGAGCAGCAGCAAGCGCCGGTGGGGCGCTTCGCGGTGGGCAGCATGCACAGGCAGCGGCGGCGCCTTCGCCGGCGGGCGGCGCGGCCTTCGCCTTTGTCTCGCGTCGCGGCGTGCTGCGCTGACGCTGAACGCTCTGCGCTGCAGCCGGCGCCACATCGCACCTCGCTGCTCGGCTCCCCTCTGGGCTGCCGCCGTGGGAGCAGCGCTCATGCCGCACGACGCCTGTCGTCTTCGCTCCGTGCTTTCGCTTGCCGGGTGCGTTGATTGCGCGCAGCGTGCACGCAAGGTGCATCATGTGGCGCTGCGCTGCCGGCATCCGGCTCCGGCCGTACGGTATGGCTCTCGCGCAGCCGCTGCATCCGACCCCCTCCTCGTCAGCGTCAGCCCTTGCGCTCGCAGCAGCAGCTCTCGCGTGCGCACCCAATTCTCCGGCTGCCCTCGCCCTCGCATGAGCTCAGAGCAAGCGCATGCTGCCGATCTGCGATCTTAGCGTGCGCTGTCAGCTTGGCGCCGCATCTCGGGTGCGCCGGTAGATCCGGGTGCTTCGGCGCTGCCGGCCGCGCCTGGCCGATGCATTTTGAGGTGGAGCGCGGCTTGCGGGGTCCAGAGCATCCTCCTTTCCCTCTCCTCGCCCCTCCTTCTCCACCCTCCTGGCCCGCCGCCATGTCGACCGCGCCCGTCCTCTCGGCGCCCGACACTGCCATCCTCACACATGTGCCCGAGCTCTCGGACGCCGCGCTCTCCGCGACGGCTGCGGCGCGGCAACAGCCCGCCGAGCAGCTCTACGACGTCGCAGCCACGGCTGCCCGCCTCGCGGCCCTCTCACCGCAGCCGCAGCGCATCGTGCTGCAATTCCCCGACGAGGCACTCTGCGACTCTGTGCCTGTCTTCTGGGGCCTGACGCGAGAGCTGCAGAAGCGGGAGTGGAAGGGACAGCTCTTCATTGGCGCAGATACTAGCTATGGCAAGTGAGTGCCGAGTGTGTGCGAGAGCGGCGCTGGGCAATGCGCTGATCTGCGAGCTTACACAGCTGCTGTGTCGATGAGGTGGCTGCGCAGCACGTCGATGCCGACATGGTCGTGCACTACGGACATGCCTGTCTGAGTCCGTGAGTCGCCTCGCAAGCTTGAGGGGCGGCAAGGCGGCGCTTGCTGAAGTGGGCGTGCCCCTCTTTCCCTGCAGCACTCAGCGTCTGCCGGTGCTCTACGTCTTTCCCAAGCTCGCCATCGAGCCTTTGCAGGCCGCAACAGCGCTCGCCGCCGGAGTACACGAGCTTGTCGGCTCTTCAGGCGCAGATGAGCCTGCGCCGAAAGCCATGCTTCTCCTCTTCGACGTCGCATACGCGCACGCTGCGCCGTCTGTGCATGCAGAGCTGGGTAGGCAGCTAGAGGCACAGGGTGTCTCAACACCGCTCGTGCTCTCGAGCGTCGAGTGCGAAGGCAACACTGGTGCCTCGGGCTCAAGACTGCCAGACGCTGCCTGCTCTCGGACGCAGGCCTTGGGCAGCGGGTGTGGCTGCGAGAGCACATGCCAAGAAGCACCGCGGCCACCGCCTGAAGCTTCGCCCGAAGACGTCTCTCGCCTCTCAGGTAGCGGCACAGGAGTTGGCGCAGGTCGGCGATACGAGCTGCCCTCAGGCGCCGATCTACGGTCCAGCGCCGTCATCTATCTCGGCGGCGAGTCGCTGGCACTTACCAATCTGCTCTTACGACTCGGACCTTCCTCACGCATGCTCTCCTACGATCCACGACGGCCTGCAGGCGCCGAGGTGCGGCGAGAAGATGGGCGGACAAATCGGCTACTCATGCGACGATACGCAGCTGTGCAGAAAGCGCGTGATGCAAGCGTGATTGCCCTGCTGGTCGGCACGCTCGGCGTGGCAGCCTACCTGCCATTGCTGGCGCATCTTCGGGAGAAGCTCATCGAGCGAGGCCGCAGAATCTATACGATCAGCGTGGGCAAGCTCACGCCTGCCAAGCTGGCAAACTACGCCGAGATCGACGTCTTTGTCCTGCTCGCTTGCCCCGAGAACTCGCTCGTCGACGCCATCGATGCGACGCGCTCGCGAGACTTCTTCAAGCCCATCGTGAGCCCCTTTGAGATGCTGCATGCGCTCAAGGACGAGGAGGACGGAGGACGCGAATGGTCGGGCGACTACGTCCTTGATCTCGATCGGCTTGCACCTACGCCTCAAACAGCAGCACCAAGCACGAGCGACGCGCAGAACGTGTCAGACGAGCTGGCAGCACAGACTGGCGACCTCAGCCTCACCGCTCAAGGCTCCGTCGAGCCGACCGCGCCGGCGGACGGGGAAGAGTCGTCAGACGAGGAGCCGCAGTTCTCGCTGATCACCGGCGGGTACGTCTCGCGCCCCAAGCGGGCGGGCAAGAACGGCTCCGGAGTGCGGCAGATCGCCGACGCCGCAAGTGCGGGCGTAGTGACGGTGCGCAGTGCCGATGGCAGTCTCACGCGCGTGCTCGACAGCGCCGCCGGTGCCCATCTGGCACAGCGTTCCTGGCGCGGTCTGGAGACTCGCAGCTCGGACGACGCACCCAGCGTGCTGGGCCGGGGACGCGCGGGCATCGCGAGTGGATATGCAGACTCGGGAGGCACGAGTGAGGGCCAGGAAGGCGTGGGCGCCATCACGAGGGAACAGACGCAGGCGGACCAACAATGACAAGAAGCATGCGTTGCGCCAGTCATTCAAGCGTGAAAGCATTAGCGCATCAGAGAGGTCGTGAGTATCATGACGGGCCGCCTCGCATCACCGAGCCGGACGCAGTGCATCGCTGTGCTCGGGCAGCGCGTAGCTTGGTCGATCGCCGAGCGGGTGGAATGAGTCTGCCGGCTGCTTCGCAGCATCGTCGGCCGTCTCGCCGGCCTTCTCGGGCTCGCCGATGCCCGCACGCGTGCCCCAGCCCGTCTCGTGCAGCGTGAAGAGCGCGTAGATCTTCATGATGGCAAAGTAGTAGCCGAAGAGGATGCTGGCGCGGCAATCGGGTCAGCTCGAAGGAGCGGAGGAGCAGCGCTGAACTCACAACGCTGGCACGTAGATGATGTCTTGCGGCCGGAACCAGAGATGAGGCAGCAGCTTGGCCGTGCGCGTGGCCATGATCCAGACGAAGTAGGAGAGAATGATGTTCCACGCAGGCAGATGGTAGCCTCCCTCCTCGACGGAACGCGTGCTCTTGACGATGAGGTACGCCACAAGCACCGGGCCGACGAGCAGCGTGAGTGGGTTGATGAACTTGTCCACCATCGAGTAGGCGACGAAAGGGTGGGCTGTCCAGATGTGGCGTTCCTTGAAGACGCTGCGAATGTCGGAGCGCCACGTGTTGCGCGTCCAGCGCAGCACTTGCTTGAGGAATCGCCAGTCGGGCTTCATCGTGGAGAGCAGCTCTGCCTCGGCACATACTTGGATGTACGTCTGCCAGCCATGGCTGACGAGCCAGCGCGTGAGAAACTTGTCGTCGCCCGAGTTGAGCAGGTATTTGCCCAGCCAGTAGTCGTTTGTGAAGCCATGCAGGAACGTCGGGTCCTTGAGGATCACGGTGCGGTACGCTGCGGTCCGGCCAGAGAGACACGGGACACCGCCGTCGATGTGCGTGCTCGCCGCAATTTCAAAGTTGCGAATCGAGAGACGGAAGGCCGCCAGCGTCTCCCACACCGTCATGCGTGCTCCCTGCGGCTTGACCCTCTGGCTCGTGCCTACGCCGCCGACGCTCTGGTCCTCAAAGCACGCCAGTATCCACGGCAGCATCGTCGGCGGCCAGATGGCGTCGTCGTCGGCAAAGACGATGATGTCCGTCGTGGTGTGGCGGATGCCATGCGCCATCTGCAGCCGCTTGTTGGCGCGCGGCACCGTCAGCACGGTGATGCGACTCGGATCCACCTCGTCGGCGAGCGCCTGCAGTGGCTCGCGCATCTTGTGCTCCGTCACGATGATGATCTGCGCCGGATTGCCCTGCAGCCAGCTGAAGGCTGCCTCCTTGAACTCCTCTCCGGCGTCGATCGTCGGCACGATGCTGCGAGGGGCCGCGTCAGCGCCACCAGCCAGGCAGCTCTCGCATGCGCGCTCACATCGTGACGTCCTCATTGGCGATGTACGTCGGATTCTCAGGCGGCTTGATCGGCCGGTACACGACGGCCGCAGAGAGACGGATGATGTACCAGAAATACCGGTAGAAGCCGATGATGCCAAACGGCACGACTGCGCGAGGACACTGCTTCAGTCCGTGGATCCCGCTGCTGCTATGCTGCCTGGCACTGCGCGGCACGCTCTGGCATCTGCGTTTCGCGTGCACTCACAGACCGGGAACTTGTCAGCTGTCAGGTACAACATCGCCCCTGTAGGGCAGCACTACGTGTGCGCCGCAGAGCAGAATGGAGGCGTGGACAGCCGAAAGTCCCGCTCGGAATGCAACCGCACGAGTTGGACGCGCGAGGCGCTGCTTTAGGTGTGCTGGTCGTCGTGAGGCCTCTGGCGAGGGTGTACAAGGCAGTGAGGGCGGAGAGGATGTGGAGCTCAAGCAACGCTGGATTGCAGCCGCAAAAGCGAGGCCAGCTCGCCGAGCGTCGGCGGCTGGGGCCTCAACGTCGAGGGCCGAGGGCGGGGGCGCGCGTATGCGGTGTGCTGTTGCGCGCCGCCGAGCGTGGCGCGCCTGGCGCTGCACGCGCCCCATGCCCGTTGACGACCGGCAGGCTCGGCATGCAGGCACTGCCTCTTCCCTCGAGGCCTCTCGGCACCCCTTGGCCAGATGGGCTGAGGCAGACTATATGCCATGGACATGTGTCCAAGGTCGCCTTGCCCTGCTGCGGCCAGGCAGAGGCGACGGCGTGGTCCAGGCCATCACTCGCAAGCGTGGGATCAGCCAGTGGCAGGCCCTTGTCCTCGGTCATGCTCTGCCTGCTGCTGCGCACGGAGCTCGGAGTCCGCCGCTTGGCCGGCGCTTGCGCTCGGTGGAGGCACGAACAAGCAGGCCAAGATGCCCCTCGCTGCGCAGGGCAAAGGGCGGCGCGCAGCCGCGCTGAAGTGGCGAAGTCCTGAATCTGAATTCGAGATCGCCCTGTGCTCCAGCCCTGCGCTGCGGCTGCGAGTCGAAGCGCTGGCTGCTTGCGCAAGGCTGCAGGCTGCGGCGAAGCGCAGAGAATCTTCTGCGGGCGCTGGCGTGCATGCTGCCGCAGGGGTCGGGAGCGCCGACGGCTGGCGTCGTGCTTGGGCGGCTGCGCTGCACGCGGCTGCACGGCCGCATGCCTCTCACGCGCGCTGCGATGCGGCGCTGGAGCAGTCGACGAGCTTGGCCCGCCGTGCCGATCATGACGCAGCGCAAGCGGCGGCCGTCGAAAGCGGCGCGAGGGGAGCGATACGTCACGCCCGCCGGCGGCTGAGCGCTGCGTCTGAGCGCTGCAGCTCCACCTCACGGCATCGGCTCCGCAACCGCACCGTCCTCGACTGCGAGCTCCTCGCAGCACGCTCGCCGACGAGACGACGGGCCCGCTCAGCCTCCGTCGGTGAATCTCGCCTCTTTTGCAGCACGGCCAGAAATGATATCCGCCAGTGCTGTAATGTCCGCGCCAGGTCTGGGCCCCGCCCGCAGCCGCGCTAAGCTTAGCTCAAGGCCGACTGCGGCACCGCCACCGCCCAAGGGTTGTGCTCAGCGTCAGGAGCAGAGCCGCAGCCGGAGATGGCGCCGGCGAGGAGGAGGTGCAGAGCCGAGATGATGCAAAGCGTGCGGAACGGAGGCGGGCTGCGGGCGCGGATGCGCTGCGTCGCGGCGGCGCGCGGCAGCGGATCGCCGTGCCGCAGAGGGGATGCCGCCGCCGCTGCTGCGCTCTGCCTCGCAGCTGCGCTCGGGCGGAGCCTGTGGTGTCATGCGCCTCTCCGATCAAGGGACAAACGCCCGCGGCCTTTGCTGACGCTGAGGCAGATGCAGCGGTCCCGCTCAGCGCTTGTGCCGCCTTGCCCGCCCAGCGCGAGGCCAGGGAGCTCTGCGATGCCCGTGCGGCGGCGGCGCGCTATAAACTCCACCGCGCGGCGAGGCCCGCCTCCTTCTGCATCTCACCCATATCCGTCCTCACGCGCGCTTTAGCCGTTTCGCATCCACGCCCCACCGACATTGCCCATCCCCTCTCCCTCATTGCCGCAGACAACACGATGAACGGCGACGCTCCTCCCCCGCACACGTCGGCCGACCCCGTGCTCGCCTCGGGCGCCGCGCCCACGGGCGACCTCAAGCTCGACACGTCGGCGCCCGCCGCCGGGGCCGGCCACGTCGGCGAGGCCAGCACGGCCTCGGCCGCGCCGCTCTCGGCCGACGCTGCGCCCACGTCGCCGCCGATCGGCACGACGACGACGACCACCATCACCACCACCACCAGCGCCGCACCCGACGCCGCCAGCCCCACGGCCGGCTCGGTGCCCGGCTCGGCCATTGCGCCCGCGGGCACTGCGCCGGGCTCCGCCATCCACCCCGCCGCGGGCTCGGAGGCCGCGCCGGCGCCCAGCTCCACGCTCGCGGCCGTGCCGGCTGCTGCGGCGGCTGGCGGCGCGGCCGGCGCTGTCGCCGGCGAGTCGGACAAGGACAAGGCGGCCGTTGCGGCGCCCCCGCCGATCGCGCCCAAGGAGGCCAAGAAGTACGACAAGCTGCTGAAGGTGAGTTGGCGCTCTGTGTGTAGAACACATGCGCGCGGTCTGCTCGGCGATGAGCCTCTTCGGCGTCGTCAGGTCACGCCAGCACGAGGTTGCGGCAATGCGCAGGAAGCGTGGCGCGCAGCGGAGATGTTCGTCGCACTCGCGCGCGCAAAGATGCGTGTGCCATGCGCGCAATGGCCCGCAGCGTTTGCGCGCGCAAATCTTTGCGCTTTGCCCTCGTCGTCATCGACATGCGTGCTGACACGCCCTCTCTACCAGACCGAGGCCAAGAACGACGAGAAGGAGCTGGCTGCTGCCATCAAGCAGGCTGCTGCCGACGAGAAGACGCTGCGCAAGGCGCGCAAGGCTGAGGCCCAGAGCATCAAGGTGCGTAGCGCGCGCTTATACGAGAGCAGTCCGCCTTCGCTGACACGCTCTCCTCTCACAGCGCCACCAGAAGGCTGTGCGCAAGGAGCACGACACGTCCAAGAAGCTCAACAAGGCCAAGCTGGCGCAGGAGAAGACGTCTGCTGCCCTCGCCAAGGCCGTCGAGGAGCTCGACATCAAGAAGCGCCACACCGAGGCGACCACCTCGTCGTACGAGACCATCAAGAAGAAGCTCGACGACCTGCGCAACACCAAGATCGCCAACGACCAGGACCGCGCCCGCCGCTCGGCTGGCATGCACACTGCCTAAACAGCGGCAGTCTGAAGCCTCGCTCAATATCGAAGTGTGAATCATCGGACGGGCGGCGGGTGTACCCTCGCTGCCGCTTCTCTCTCTCTCTCTCTCTCTCTCTCTCTCTCTCTCTCGCCCTACTCGAATCTGCCGTCTGCCGTCGAGCGCAGTCTGGTGCTGCGCGCATCTTGTTCCTCCTCCACAAGCTGTGTGCGCATCACATACCCCTGAGCTTGTGCCAGGCGCGCCCTGCCTACCCTGTCCACTCTCTATGCTGTTCTGCCAAACCAATATCAAGCTCTCTCTCCTCTCTCTGCGTCTGTCGTCGTGGCCTCGCAGCAGATTAATGCAATTCGTGCGATGATGCGCTGCGAATGAGGCTCTATGCGACACGCGCAAGCGCAATGGCGTCGATCTGCTGGATCTGCGGCAGGAGCAGCATGATCTTGCGTCGATACGCGGCACCCTCGCTGCGCTGCACCGGGTTGTGCTCGAGGTACACCGTCGCGAGGTTTGGGCAGACCTTGGGCCCCAGCTGCGCCTCGAGGGCGCCGAGCGTCGAGATGCGATTGTCGTTTGCCTTGCAAGCGAAGCGAAGTGAGCGAAGCAAGACGCGGCGACAGCTGCGAGTCGACGTACCCAGAATTCCTCGAGCGCGCTCAGGTGCGCAATGTTCTCAATCCCCTCTATACGATTCGCGCCAATGTCCAGCGTCGTGAGACGCTTGCAGCCCTCGAGGCCCTCGAGCTTCGTCAGGCCGTTGTGAGAAATGTACAGCTCCTCGAGCGCCTCGAGCGACGAGAGGTTCTCCAGCTTGGTGATGCGGTTCGACTGGATCGACAGCACGCGAAGCGACTTGAGGTTCTCGAGCCCCTGCAGATGGCGTGAAGAGTGAGCTGTGGCAGACATGATGCTGGCGCGTGTCAGCGCACCTCGAGCTTCGTGATCTTGTTCTTGCCGAGCCACAGCTCCTCGAGCTGCGAGAGGTGGCCGATATTCTCGATGCTCTAGCGATGCACGCGTCAGCTGGTGAAGCAGGGCCAGAACGGCATCACTGACCCGCAGGCGGTTTCCGCCCAGCTCTAGGCTCCGCAGCGAGGCACCGATCGGCCCCGTCAGATCGTCTGTCCGCACACGCGAGATCTTGTTCTGCACAAAGTAGAGCGTGCGCAGCTTGGAGAGATGCGTGAGGTGCGAGATATGCCGGATGGAGTTGAAGGAGAAGTCGAGCGATCTGCGCGCCAGCTTGAGCGCCTGGAGCAGACACGCAGCCTCAGCTCAACTTACTCAAGCTCCGGACACCCTTCCAGCACCTCGCCGTACGTCTTGCCGAGCCCGTTGTCGTACAGGTCCAGATCCGTGAGGCTGCACAGCTGCCCGATGTCGCTGGCCGCGATCTTCGAGACCTCATTCTGCCGCAGTCCGAGCCGCTTGAGCTGCTTGAAGCGGGCGAGTCCGAGCTTGCGCAGTGATGATGTCTTCAATCGCAGATGTGTGAGGTCGATGTACTGAGGTGCGGCGTGAGCTGTGTCGCGAGCGGCTGGCGGGTGCTAGTCTGCCACAGCTGCCCGAGACGGCCGAGCACGGCACCCTAGCGCGCAGCGACAGCAGCCACGCTCTCTACGGAGGTTCGCGCAAATCGCACTCATGCCTACATTCTCGCTCAGGCTCTCCGGCTCGGCGGGGTGACTCACCTCCTCATCATCCGGGTACTCCTTCAGCAGATCTGCCACATCGTCCCCGTCTGCTGCCCCTTCTTCGCTGCCCAGCTCCCGAATGCGTGCGCCCTCCAGCTCCTCCACGTCGCTGTTCTCCTCGCCTTCGTCCTCGTCGCGCTCGTCTGCGCTGCCGTCGCTGTCCTCCTTGTTGCGGCTGGAGCGCGGCGGCATGGGCGGCAGCTCGGCAAGGCGCGCCTGCTTGCGCGGTGCCGCCGCCGGCGGCGCGGCGTCGCCGTTGGAGAGCGACAGGGCGCCGACATCGGGCGTGGCCGACGAGGACGAGGGTGTGGGATCGGACATTGGATGTGAGGCTGTGGCAGTGGAGAAGCAAGCTTGGATGTGTGCTGCGGACAAGGCCGCTCGGCCGGGGCGCTCCCACGGCGCGCTCCATCGTCATGCATCGGACGGACAGCTCGGCAGCGCGGCAGGGCCTGCCGCGCGCGTTCCGCCAGCGGCAGCACCTTGCTTCGCCTCCACCCTCTCTCCCACACCCGCTGCCCATCGCACCCGCATCACCCACACGGCCCCTCCGCCGTCGCCGCAGCTCCACCACTGCACACCACAGCACTGCTCGCACCTGCCGCACGCCCGGCACTCGCCCGCCCTCCACCCAGGCGACCTGCTGCCGCCTCGTCGTCGCGCCTGCTCGCCATCTCCCTGGCGCCGGCTGCCCGCATACACGCCCGTCTCTGCACCGCTGCGGCTTCTTCTTGCCCTCCAGCGCATTCTTGAATCGCTACCGTGCTCTGCCCTCATCGTCCGCCCTCTGTTCGCTTGATGTCCACGGCCTTCGCCAGCTCTCGCTACAGCCAATTCATCGACTCGTCACAGCGCCGCGCCTCGTCGCCCGCGCTCCCGACAACCGGCACCGCCGCTTGTCTCGCGCTCAACTGGCTTTAGACGCAAGGGATTGTTCATCGTCTGCATAGAGCGCACCCTCCATCCTTCCCTCGCCCTCTCGCCTCGCGGCTCCGCGGACGAGAGCTCGCCGGTCGCCGTCGTACCTCGCCTGCATCTGCGCGTCTGAGCATCAGCAGCCATGCCGCCGCCGCACTTCACGCCCTCGACGGCCATGCCTGCGCCCGTGGCACCCGATCTGCCCAAGGCGCTGCGCAACCTCGTCAAGGATGCCTCGGCCAAGATCAGAGCAGCACTGCTCTCGCGCGGGTCCGCCAACACGACGCTGGGCCCTGCGTATCAGGCCATCAATGCCCTGCTGGCCGACCCGAACATCCCGGCGCCGACGTCCGCTGGCAGCAGCGGCACCTCTTCCTCCGCTGCTGCATCCTTCTCGGGCGCACAAGGCGCCACGTCTGCTGCCACAAAGGCGCAGATCCGCACGTATCTCTCGCAGCGTCTCAATGGCGAGCTCATGGACCTGTTCTCCGACGAGATGGACCAGGCGGATCTCACAAAGCTCTCGCTGCTCGCCGAGATCCTGTGGCGTCTCTCGTCTCTGCTTGGGCCGGCATGCATGATGCTCGAGTGGTGGGACGTGCTGCTGCGGCCGCTGCTCAAGAATCCGGCGACCAATGCGCGGGCCGCGACGCAGGCGCGCAATCTCGTCGTCTTCTCCATGACAGCATCGTCGCCCTCGTCATACCAAGACGAGCCTGAGCCGACTGCGCTGTGGCCTGCTGCTCCTCCTGGCACGCAGACGATGCAGCGCAAGCGCGGCGAGGCGCCGTATCCTCTCTCGTCCACCGAGGTCATCTCTGCCGCCGAGCGCAGCAAGAGCAGAGAGCGGCGCGTGCCGTCAGGCGGCAGCTCGGGCATGCCGCGCATCGGCGGCAGTAACGAGCACTTCAAGCGCTTCACGCAGCGCATCTTTGACCTGTACACCAGCGAGGCAAGTGCCACGCCTATCGGACAGCGCGAGGAGGACGACGACATCGCCGAGCTGGGCTCGACGTCGGGCGAGCACGGCGAGCCGGGCAATGCCGAGTCTGCACAGCTGATTGGCACGACCTGGAAGGGCAACCTCGAGGCCATACTCATCACCTACGGGCAAGAGCGGCCGAAGGAGTTCTTCCACCACCTGGCCGAGTCATTCGTCGAGCCCACTGCACGCGTGCCCATTTTGCTGCTGCTCACGATCTTCCTGCGCCTCAACTCGATCCACACGTACCACATCACCTCGACGGCGCTGCCGCGCATGCTCGTGCTGTCGGCGCAGCTCGACACCAGCACCACCTCGACGGCGCTGTGCATCACGGCGCTCGTCATCCTGCTGCCGCACATTCCCAACTGGATCGCAAATGGCGGCGCTGGTGGTTTGCCGAGTCTGCTCGCCATCTACGCGCGCATCATCGACTGGCGGCGACTGGGCGTCGGCTGGGAGGATCGCTGCGGTGCGACAGAGGAGGAAGACGCAGAGCGACGCGAGCTGGATGAGGAGTTCGGCGAGGTGGAGCGGCTGGGCAAGCGTTTGGCGAGCCGCAAGGATCTGCAGTGGAAGCGACTCGGTGCGTGATCTTGCCTTCGCCTCTTCAAGCGTCTACTAATTCCCTCCTCTGTGCAGCGAGCACGTTCGACACCGTCTCGTCCAGTCCGCCCGATGCAGTCCAGTTCTTCACCTTCATCTACGGCATCTTCCCGTGCAACGTCATTCGCTTCCTGCGTGCGCCGATCGACTATCTGCGCAAGGCACAGTACGACTCGCCGTTCGAGGACACGTGGGAAGACACCATCGACGAGCTGGCCGTGCAGACGCGCAGCGCACCCGTGCTGCGACGCCACGTCCTGCACCCGGCGCTGGTGACGCTGACGGCGGAGAACGAGGTCAGCGACAAGCAGCGCTGGCGGGATCACGACGCCGCAGACATCACTGCCGAGTGCATCAACCTCTTCTTGGGCACCTGGCACGACTCGCACGAGGACAGCCAGTTCGCAACGGTGCGCGATCGAGCATTCTCTACGGCCAGCGCCGCAACATCAGATCCGCGATCGCGCTCCGCCTCGCTCGGCGCGGAGAGTCAAGATCTCACCAAGGCCGAGCTGCGCAAGATGCTCGAGCAGACGCAGCCCACGCCATTGCTTCGCGACAGCACGGTGCTTCGCCCAGGCGCCGCACGGCAGTTCTCGCCTCTGCGCATCGGCAGCGGCCGGGCTATGACAGAGGCGTCATCGGCGGCGCAGCGCAGCGCGAACGAGGCGGATGAGATCCTGTCTCGGTACACAGCGCTGCGGTGGGGCGCGCCGCTGCAAAGCACGACGACCGTCCGCACGCCGTCAGGCGGCAGCGAGCCACCGGCCAGTCGGCCGACCCGTTCAGCGACGATGTGGGGCGCTCCGCAGCACCAGCCGCCGCACACGTCCAGCGGGCTGGCCTTCCATCAGCCACGTTCTGGACTTGCTTCTGCAGTCACGACGGCAGCGCACTCCTCGGCGGCCAATGCGCGCAGCACAGGCGCCGCGGGCAAGCTCAGCGAGACGCTGTCGACGCCGCCATCGCCGCTCTCCCAGGCGCTGCGCTCGCGCACGCGTGAGCGCTCCGGCTCGATGTCGTCCGTCCTGTCGCTCTTGCCGTCCTCGACAGATGCGTCTTCGGTCGTGCCGCGCAGCAGCCACGACCACCCCCTGATCAGTTCGATGTTGAAGCAGTCCTCGAGGTCGACCGCCGGCTCGCCAGTGCTGCGGCCGGTGCGCACGGAGGTGTACACCGAGCTGGCGTACTTGCAGCGCGAGAACCTGCTTCTGCGCAACGAGCTCAACTTCGAGCTGTACCTCAAGGAGCAGCACCTGCGGCACATCGGCCGTCTGCACCGCGACCGCATCGCCGACACGGCGCTCGAGGCCGAGCGTCAGAACCTGTACCACTCCGTGCGAGTCATGCGCGCTCAGCTCAGTGCCACGCTGCAGGCGCAGGAGCGCCAGCGCGCCGAGGTGGCCACTACAAAGTCGCGTCACAGCGCGTGGGAGAACGAGCTGAACCAGAAGCTCAAGACCTATCGCGAGGAGCGCAAGACGTGGATGGCCGAAGGCCGTGAGCTTAGAGTGAGTGATTTGCATCGCATTGCCGCGAGCACAGCTGATACATGCGCCTGCAGAGCGCACTGGAAGATGCGCGTGCAACAGTCTCGATGCAGGCACGCCAGATCGACGAGACAGGCGCCGAGCTCTTCGAGCTGCGGCAGCAAGTCGGTGTGGACCGACTCAAGCTGTCCAAGATTGCCGAGTACGAGCGCAAGGTGCAGCAGCTCTCGCTGGCGCTGCAGACGTGGGGCGACGACGTGCGCCGCTGCGAGGAGCAGCGCCGCGAGATGGAGCTGCTGCTCTCGCGCTGGGAGGAGATGCAGATGATCCTGCAGTCGTCCGACGAGGCGCTCGAGCAGGCCAACGACCGCGCGGACGCCAACGCATCGCACGTCGCAAGGCTGGAAGAGGCGCTCGAGGAGGCACAGCGTCGCATCCAGCAACTCGGCAACTCGGAGCGCAGCGTGCACTCTGCAGCGCTGCAGCTGCCCAAGAGCGCGGCATCGCCTCGCTTTGTGCCGCGCTCGCCGCAGACGCATCTGCGCACGTCCGAGACAGACAGCGCTACTCCCGAGGCGACACGTCTGCGCTCGCGCGTCGAGCAGCTGGAGGCGGAGGTGCTCGAGCTGCGCGTCAGAGCGGAGGCCAGCGAGTCTGCGCAGGCGTATGCTCGACTCCGTCAAGAGCTGCCTGTGCCGCCACCAGCGCAAGAAGATCCGGTCGAGCGAGCGCTGTCCTTCCATGAAGCCGACATCCAGCCGCTGGACCTTGGCGCCGCTGTTGCGACGCCTGCTGCTGGCGATGCTAGCTCGCCGGACCCGCCAGCAGTTGAAGCAGCAGCAGAGCAGGGCGAAGAGGAAGCGGCGAAGCCTGAGGCCGCGAACGAAGAGAGCCAGGAGCAAGCGTGATGTGCCTGAGAGCTGTAAACGAAATGAGATTTGCCTGTCACTGTCAGTAGCGAATGCATTGGCCTGCAGAGTCAGCCTGTCTGGCACAGCAGAAGCACCACACTCCCGCCTTCCTTCTCTCGCCATCGACGACTCGCTGCGTAAAGGTCGCTGCGTGAAGGTGACGGTGCATCCCGGGGTGCTTTTGTGTCGCGTGCAGCGCTCAGCGCCGCGCTGGGCTCGCGCTTCGTCGGTCGTAGTCGGCGTCGGCTGCGCGCGGTGCCGAGCGCCAGTCGCCGCCGCCACCGCCGCCCACCTCGTCCTTCCATCCGCCGCCGCCACCACCGCTGCGCCGCGAGCCGCGCTCCTCCTCTCGCCGCCGCGATGCAAGTTCCTGTGGCTGGGTCAGCGCGAGAGACAGAGGCAGCTGCACACGGGCTATACGCACCACGCTGAGCTCATGATGCAGTTCCCGGACCAGTGCAGGCGAGGCGTAGCGCAGGTGCATGAAGTTGCAGAAGCCGCCGCGGTTGCATTCTTGCGTCTCATTCTGCGCAGTGCGTCAGCGCTGGCCCTCACGAAGCAGCAGGGCGGCGACTCACTTGCCGGCAGCATGCCTCACGGAAGTCTGTGACGGGCGACAGCTCTGCGAACAACGGCCGACCTGGCGAGGTGAGTGCGAGTCAGTCCGAGTGCTCACCAATTGTCAAACTCATGCTCCTCGCGCCGCTGGCCTCGACCCGTCACAGTACAGCAGAGCCATGCACCAGGCTGCCATGCTTCGCCGCCACAAACCACGCATCCTCGGCACTCACCAGCGTACCATCGGTCATTCAGCGCTGCGACAAGAGCCAGAATCAGCAGGCGCTCCGGGTGGCGAAGCCGCAACAGCACTCACCATCGACAGCCGCCTGCGCCTCGGTCTCCATGTCGTATCTGCGAGCCGCATCAGTCAGCCTGCCGTGCAGCACTTCGCCATGGCCAGCAGCGCTTCGCCGCCACTGCACATACGAGCCGCACCGCGCCACATGTCCAGCGCTGCTGCCCGCCCCTGCCCTGACTCACCTGGCGTACACGTTGCCAATGAGATGGTCGCCAACATTGTCGCACACGTGCATCTCCAGCAGCTGGCCGAACTTGGCCAGCTCGCAGAAGAAGTCCTCGAAGAACGAGTCAAAGTCCTTCTGCAGCTCCTCGTCGCTCATGGAGCAGTTGGGGTCCGCATGGCGCGGGTTCTGGTACACGTTGGAGACCAGGATCGTCTGCGAGAACGGCGGCTTGGTGTGCTTGCGCGAACAGCGGTCGCCATGGCGGCATGCACCGATCTGGCAAGAAGAGACCACAGCTCATCAGCTCAAAGTGGCACTTTGCGCAGGGCTGAACGAGCCCCTTGCCAGCGTGCACAGCAGCAGGAATGCAGCGACGCACCTTGTAGTAGAAGGAGCAGTTGACCTTGTCCTGCTCGGTGCCGTAGATGCTGGCGAGGTACGACGCCATGGTGGACTGCGCTGCGTTGGAGGTGGTGGGCGTGCAGACAGATGCAGGACGCTGCCAAGGATGCGGTGGCGGAGCTGCGCAGCGAGGAAGGAGAGCGAACGATGGAACGAAATAGGGAGCACTCAGGGCCGCCGGACGGCGGCGCGGCTGTCGTGCGCCGGCCGCTCGGCGCTGCCGCCTGTGCCGGGCGCGAGAGCGTGCTGACATAAGCAATTGGCTCCCCAATTAACACGGCGCGTGCCTGCGCCGAGCGAGGCACGCCGCGAGTTGATGCAGCCTCCACTCCACCACCGCCTTCCCCGCAAGCACTCGCACTCGCTCAGCCCTCGCAAGATGGTGAGCTTGGCATGTGCGCCCGCTGTGTATGCGCTGACATAGCTGACGGCTTGCCAGACGCTCCCGCCGGCCATCATGCGGCGCCTCACGCGCGAGCTGGCACGCCTGCACGCCAACCCGCCCGAGGACTACCGCGTCGTGCTGAACGAGGAGGACATTCTCGACGTCGCCGTGTGGATTCGCGGGCCAGGTGCGTCAGGCGTGCGAGGCCTGGCCACTGAGTGCTGACGCTGCGCCACAGAGGGCACGCCGTTCGAGGGCGGCTATTTCAAGCTCACCATCGACTTCCTGGCCGGCGACTATCCCAACTCGCCGCCGCACTGCCTGCTGCGGACAAAGAGTGAGCACCGGCGGGGCACTCCTAGCGTGCTGAGCTGATGTATGGCCCAGTCTTTCATCCAAACGTCTCCACAAAGGGCGACATCTGCGTGTCGACGCTGAAGAAGGGCTGGGATGCGCAGACGGGCGTCGACTTTCTCGTCCGCACCATCATCTCGCTGCTGCTGGACCCGAACCCGGACTCGGTGCTGGACCAGGCAGAGGCGGGCCGCTTGATGCATGATGTGAGTCAGATGCTTGGTGGTCGAAGGCGGCGTATTGGGCGTATGTCTGCCCGTCTCGTATGGGCTTTGATCTGGTAGCGTGCAGAAGGTGCAGCTCGTCCTGACATCTCGGTCGGCAGTCGTACGAAGACTTCCACAAGACAGCTCGCATTTGGACGAGCGTGCACGCCTCGACGCGCCCGGACTGCTTCGGGCCGGCGAGCCCTGCTTCTGCCAGCAAGATGGCGAGCCATGATGCGGCACCGCTTGCGAGCACGCAGACTGTGGCTCCGCAGACCAGCAGCAACGCCGGAACTGGTCCGGCCACGCTGTGCCCTCCTGCGGCAGCTGCCCTTCCTTCTCTTCCGCAGGGCAGCATTGCCGGTCTTCCATCTTCATGCGCTCCGCTGAGCCTAGGTGGAGGCGGCGTCCTCAAGAAGACGAGCGTGCCGAAGCGAGGCTTGCGGCGCCTCTGATCACGTCACTGGGCCATGCCTTAGCAGCCTGCTCCGCTCTCTTCCGCCGACACGACAAAAAGTGCTCTTCATCACGTCCGACTGACCTGTGACGCCGGCCTGACCTTCATCGATACCACCCAATGACTCCTCACACATGTATTCCCCTCGCGTCACACCCTGCTCCCATCGCCTGCTAATCTCAAAGCTGCTCGCGCTTGACGTAGTTGTTCGAGGACGTGGCTGAGTCGAGCAGTTAGCAGATGTGCAGCAACTGACAGGGCCGATGCAGGCTCACCGTTGAGCTGAGAGCTGAGCGCTTGGTGGCTGAGGTTCAGACCCGGCGGCGAAGTCATTCTCGTTGGGCTGCAGCTGCTCTCGGCCTTAGCGTTCGGAGCATAGGCGATGGAGGTGCAGCTCGTGACGGGCTCGTCGTCCCAGTACTTCATGAGCGCAGCTAGCTCGTTGCGACGGCGGGTGGATCGCGATGTGCTGGGCTCGAAAGTCTATTCAGCTTACGTTGAGGGTTCGGGATGGCGCTTGCTCTCACGTAGACTGCGAAGCGCGCTCCACCTCGAGCTCGTCTTTCTCGTCCTCCGACGTGGCAGCGCAGAGACCGTCTACGACTTCCTGCTTGTAGCTTTGAGGGGTAGACGGAGGCTCCTGGCTCGCTGGAGTCTGCGGGAGTGCTGGAGCAGAGGGCAGAGTGAGCGCTGAGCCGATAAACAGCCGCACTTGAGCCGCACCGGGGATGAGGAAGTCGCCCTTCGGAAGCTCCGTGCCAGCTTGAGCACTGGCATAGATCCAGCGCGGGTGGCAGATGCTGATATTTGCGCCAGCTTGCTCGCCGTGTTCTTCGTGTGTTACCATGCGGACGCCGATGAGCCTGGAGGCCATCCGTGAGCGCTCAGCTGCTGCCAGGTTCCGAGCACTTTGACGCTTCACTCACGGCGCAGACAGGGCGTCGGCCTGGTCGCAAGCGAAGTGGTGCGTGGCGCCAAGCGGGCTGCGCGAGGTGTTGCCGCCGAGCTGGCCTTTGCGGGGCAAATGAGGGACCTCATGCGTTAGCTTGAGGCGAGCAGGACGCGAAGCGGGCGCTCAGGCGCACGCCACAGGGTGACACAGTCGGCCTCGTACTGGCGAGCGCCGAGGCCGAACCACGCCACGTCGTCCGAGGTCAGAGTGAAGGCTGACGTCGGCTGAGGCATGAGGTGAAGGAGTGACGGGTAGAGCATGCCGGAAGGTGGTGGCAGTGAAGAGCGAGCGACGGGCGTCGCACTTGCGCACACACCTTCAGCGTTACGCACGCACGCGCCGCTGCCGCGGCACGACGCGCGCCGTGGTGCCGGGCTCTGACCGAGCTGCACCGCAACAGCGAGGAGAGCAGGTGTATAGCATTCACGCATGGGTATGTGCCGCGCACAGCAGAACGGCGGGCAGGAGCACTAGGGCGGGTATGGAAGCAGGTGGGATGCCGGGAGAAGCAGTGTGAGATGGAAGGGAAAGAGCGGAGCTTTAGAGCGTGAGATGGCGAGCCGAGACTGCTGGCGCGATGAGTCGTCTACTCGTCCTCCTCCTCTTCCTCAATGACTTGCGTGCGGAAGGCTGGAGCCGGCGCACGCAGACGGGCGGTGCCCATCGAGGGTGACGGCACCGAGTTCGTGCTGGCGCTTGACGCGTCTTTTGCGGCCGGTGCAGAGCCGGGTGTGCTCGACGGAGGCGTCTCGGATGTCGAGCTGTCGGGCGGATCGAGCTGCATCGACAGCACGCGAGGCATCGTGTCGCGGCCGAGCGACGGCGGCTGGAAGATGGAGCGGATGCCAGCGTAGCGGCCGGAGCCGAGCAGGCCGCCTTCTACCTGCTGCGAGGCGCCAGGTGCGCGCTTGCTGCCGGCGAAAGGCGAGTCGGGCACGTTGGAGCTCGACGTGCCGGCCCACGAGGAGCCGCTGTAGGTGTCGAGCTGGCCAAGGCCACCTGCATAGGTCGGCGCATCATCTTCGTCTTCCCAGTCGTCGTCCTGGCGCCCAGCAAAGACATCGCGCAGCTTCGGCTTGGCTGCAGCCGCTGTGGCGGCGAGCTCGCTGCGCGTCGGCCCCTGATCGACAGGTCCAGCCCAGCTCGGCGGCGGCCGGCCCCAGCTGCGACGCCAGGTGCCGGTGCCCGCGGCAGGCGCCTCGCCGAATTGCGTCTTGATGCCGTCTGGCGGCGGCTGAGCTTTGCTCGTCATCGAGTGAAGCGAGGGGTTGGCCGACGGCGGCTTGTACGGCGAGCGAGACTTGTGCACCGTGAAGACGCTGCCGCGGCTCGAGCCGTGCCCGTGCGCTGGTGAGGCACGTCCCTGGCTGCCCTCTGCAGCGGAACGTCGGCTTTCGAGCGAGCCTCGGCGCGGCGTGCCGACTTGGCCGGCCTCTGCGCTGTCTGGTCCGTCATCGCCGGGTGCGTACAAGGACGCTGGGCGCGACGTGCTGCCCTCCGAACGCGGCACGCCGGGATAGTGCCGATGCCGCCGCACAGTCGAGCCGCCTTCTGTGCTCGGCCGCCGGCCGTGCAGCGTGCGCATCGTGCTGTTCATCGCCACAGCCTGCTGCTTGCGCAGAATGGAGTTCGCACTGCTCGCCGAGCCGGACTTGACGTGCAGTCCGGACGGCGGCGGCCGGTGCAGCGAGGCGGAGCTGGACGGTCGGCTCGAGCGCTGCGACGCAGCGAGATGCGGGTGATCTGCCTCGCCCCAGACAGTGGCGGTCGGCGTGATGCTGCCGGCACTCTGCCGTCTGAAGTTCGGCGGCCGCGAGGTGCTGATCGTCAGGCCGTGCCCATCCAGGTGCTGTGCGCTGCCAGACGAGCTGCGCCGGCTGAGCGAGCCGCGCTGCGGGCTGCGAGGCGACCGCCGCGAGCCGGCCATTGACGTGGGCGCGTATGCACCACCACCGCGGCGGCTCACGCTGCCCTTGCGCGCTACAGACTGGCTCGAGTAGCCGCTGCCCTCATGGCCGTGGTGCGACGGCGGACTGCCGACCATGTTCTTCTGCGCCTTGCGACGCCGCCGGGCCTGCTTGTCTTCGGAGCCGAGCCACGTGCGCACCGTCGAGAGGAACGACGAGCGCTGCCGAGTCTTGCCCGAGGCAGATGCATCGCCGTCATTGACGCTCGAGAGCGTGGTGAAGGTGTCGACTGACTTGGAAGACGACAGCGTGCCATGGACACTGCCGTCGCCTACAGCGCCGTCGTCGCCGTTCGTCTTCGGCAGCGCTCTCTGCTTGCCGGATGTCGAGCGAGATGGCGACTTGTCGACGACGTCGGCCTGTATCAAGGCTCTAATGCGCTCCCGATCACGCTCAGGGTCCTTCCGCACAGGCGTTTGCGAGCCCTCGGGCGAGCCGAAGTCTCGTGTGCCCGAGACGCGCTCCTTCGCAGGCGAAGCGGGCTGCCGCGAGCGATCCTTGATGGTCGACGTGCCTTTCTTGCTGAAGAGCGCGCCGACTGGACTCTTTGAGCGCTCAGGCGGCTGCGAGTCGTCCACTTCTGGACTGTCGCGTCGTGCACCGCCCGCAAGCACACTGGACAGCTTGACGCTGAACGAATTCGTGCGCGCTCGGTCGGCCTGACGAGGCCGTGAGACGCTGGCAGCAGCAGCGTCGGGCTGCGGCACTGCGTCTTGAGCGTTCAGATCTGTGACGCTGGTCGAGCCTCGTGCGTGGCCAACTCGGATCTTGTCGTGCCGCAGAGGCGATGCGACGCTCTGCGACCTGTCGCGCGCCTTAACATCTGCACGAGCGTCCTTTCGCGCAGGACTAGAGGCAGGGCTGTTTGCCTGGCGGGCAGGATCCTTCGGCGGCAGCGGCGGCGGGCCGGCTGGCGCATGTGGCGTCGGGGTGGCGGGCGCGACAGACGGCACCGGTGTTGGGAGCACAGCGCTCATGGGAACAGGGTTCGCAGCCCGCTCGTCAGCCTTGAGCTTCAGCAGCCACCAGATGGCGCCGCTGGCGTCGCACGCGTCGGTGATGACGCTGTGCACGATCTGCCCGACATCGAAGCCGAGATTGCTCAGCTGGTGGAGCAAGTTCTGCTCTGCGACGCTAGTGAAGAGCGCGGGCGAGGACTCCTCGATGAGCGAGACGTAGTCAATCGGGCGCGGCTGCAGGTGCGGCGGGTGGTGGTCTGAGAGGCCGCTCGAGGAGAGCGAGCGGCGCTTCGTGCGCGAAGGTGTGCGCACGTGGCCGCGTGACGAGCCGGAGCTGACGCGCTTCATGACCTCGCTCATCTCTGCGCTCGGCACTTGCTTCAGAGGAGCGGCGCCGTTCTGCTGCGGCGAGCTCTCCGTCGAGCCGGGCGACTCGTGATGAGTCGGCAGGGACGAAGCTGTTGCCTTGCCGCCAGCAGACGGGCCTTTCCGCGACACGTCGCTGCCCGCTGAGCCTTCTCGGCGGATAGTCGTCTGCGACTCGTTGCGGTGGATCGCCAGTGGCGGCGCCTCGACTGGCGACTCCTCCGAGGCAGACACGCCTTCGAGGCTGGACTTGTCGTCGTTGTCGGTCGTCGGGTCTGTCGTGGGGCTCGTGCCGCCCGTGCGGCTCGAGCGGCGGTCGCTCGACTCGCTGTCGCTGACAGCTGAGTGGTAGCTGGCCTCGGATGCGCCAGACGCTTCCTGCACATGAAGGCCGAGCGAAGGAGGGGCCAGCGATGCAGACGAGATGACCTCGTCGACTGTAAGCGAAGCCGACTCGATTGGAGGCAGCTTCGGCGGCGTCGCTGCGAGGACCGGCACCACCGGCGCTGCCTCGAGCGCCGCATCGCTCGGCTGCTCTCCTGGCTCGGCGATGCCCGCTGCTTCTGGCGCAAAGTACGCGTCGCCGCTCTCGTCTTCCTCCACTGCCGACATTGGGCTGCCGAGCATGACCTTGGCGAACCAGGGATGACTGAGCATCGACCTGATCGACAGGCGCGCAGTGGGCTCCTGCTGCAGGATGCCCCTCAGAAGGTCTTTCGCCTCTGCCAGTCCGCAGTCAGCTCTGGTTCTCCACACCCACGCGCCTCACTCACCCTCAGAGATCACCTCGGGCACCTCGTAGTCTCCCGCCAGGATCTTGCTCTTCATCACGTCGTCATCATCGTCATCGAACGGCAGCGCGCCGCAGAGCAGCGCGTAGAGGATGACGCCCAGCGACCAGAGGTCCACCTCTGCGGGCAGCAAGTCGCGTCAGCACTGCCTCAGGCCCGGCGCTCCGCTGAGCAGGCCGCGCATGCACAACTCGCATCGATGCCAAGCAGCACACTATAGCCACACGTGCCAGCGCTTGCCCTCAGCCCAGCGCTTGGAGACACAGCTACTCACCCTCGCCAGTGTACTTCTTGCCCGCCAGCATCTCCGGCGCCGCATAGCCCGTCGTGCCGCAGAACGTGTCCATCAGGCGCTTGCCCTCGAACTCGCGCGTGAAGCCAAAGTCGCCGAGCTTCACGTTGCAGCGCTCGTCGAGCAGCACGTTCTCGAGCTTCAGGTCGCGGTGCACGATGCCCTTGCCGTGGATGTAGGCGAGGGCGAGGCAGAGCTGGCCGAAGATGCGGCGTGCCTCGGGCTCGGGCAGCGTGCCGCGCTCGACGAGGTAGTCGTACAGCTCGCCGCCGGTGCAGAGCTCGCTGGCCATCCAGATGTGGCTCTCCGTCGCCACGACCTCGTACAGCTGCATCACGTTTGGGTGGTGCAGGCGCCGGTGGTGGTGGATCTCGCGCGTCAGGCTGGCGCTGTGCGCCTTGGGCACCTGCTTGATGGCCACACGCGTGCCCGTGGCGCGGTGCACGCCCATGCGCACCTTGCCATACGTGCCCTCGCCGATGGGCCGGCCGAGCGTGTAGCTGCCGACGCACTTGAGCTTGCCCGACGAGAGCTCCTTGCCGAGCTCCTGGTACGCCGACGCCAGCGCGGCCGTGCGGTTGATGATGCTCGAGCCGCCGCCACCGACGGTACTGGCGCCGCTGGCCGATGCCGCCGACGCACTGCCGCCGGCCGGCCACTCGCGCTGCCGGCGCGAGCTCATGCTTCAGCGCTCACCAGCCCGGCGCAGGGCGGTGCGCTGGGAGCGGGATGCGATGCGCGGCACACGCTGGGCCGCGGCTGCCGCGAGCGGCTGCTGGGCGCACTGTGCGAGCGAGGCGGTGCTCGAGCCGCCGGGTGCAAGAAGGGCCGCGACGTGGCGGTGCGGTGTCGCGAGGAGCAGGCAGCGAGGAGGAGGCAGAGGTCGCCGCTCCGGTATCGAGACGACGCGACGCGAGTCGGGGGAGGTAGAGGGCAACGCGAAGCGGCGAGCGTGGCGGTGCGAGCAGCGAAGCAGCGCGCCTTGGGTGTGAGTGCGGGGCGCGGGGCGGCCTCGTCTGAGTGCTGAGCCGAGGAGGAGGCGGTCCGAGCTGGGAGCGATGAGAAGGAGCGGAGGCGCGAGCGGGCGAGCCACGGCCACAGCGCGGGAGCAGCAGCAGCAGCGCGTCGCGCAGGCGGCGATGGCCGCGGCGGCAGGCCAGCTCGCGCGGCGCGACTCGACTCAGACTCGACTGCTGACCTGCTGCCTGCTGCTGGTGCTGCCGCGGCCCCGGTCTCGCGTCCTCACACCGCCATCCTTCCCATGAAGAAGCACCGCAGAAGCGCCTTGTCTGCGACATCTGCATCCACAAGCACACACGCAGCGCCTGACACTGACTCAGAGAGAGGCTTCGATCGTGGTACCGCAGACGTCGGCAGCGAGGCATGAGAGCACGGCACGCCGCCTGCATGCGCTGCGAGGCTCGCGCGAGCCTTGCGCAGCAGGGCACTACACCAGTGTGTGAGCGACTTGCTCACCCGGGCCCCAGAGCAGTCTCCGTCGTGCCCAAGCGTCGCGTCGCCCGCCGCCGCGCCACGCCGCCGCGCGCTCCCGCGCCGCACCCGCTGCGCCCGCCCGATGGCGCCCTCCGCCAGCGCCGCCCAAGCCACACCCGTGGTGATGCCCGAGTCCCGGCACTCGTACATCTCGCTGCTCCCACGGACCCGTGTGGAGCTCGGCGACGTCCTGGCGACGCGGCGAGCGCGACGACGACGACGACGAGGCGAGCGCGAGCGTGCAAAGTTCGACAGCAGAGGAGAGCAGTTTGCAGCAGCCGAGCGGCGCAGCTCCGCCGCGTCGAGTCACGGGCGCAGCGACACTGGCGCCGTGCCCGGCGGGCCGGCGCTGCGCGTGCGCGCGGCACGGCGCCAGTCTCTCTCCGCGCCAGGCGTGCGCCGGGCGCCTGGCGCGCAAAGGCATAAGTACAGGGCCTCGCCCGGCCCGTCGCCAGATCCGCCCACCTTCCCATCCACCACCTCCCACCCCTGCCATCCGCCCGCTCCGCCGCTCCTCCTCGCTCTCGCGCCCGCCAAACACGCCCCGCAAGCCCGCAAGCTCGTCTCGCCAACCACCGCGCCGCCCGTCTGCTCCCTGGCCGGCCAGCTGCCCTCGGGCTGGCCGCCGAGCTCGTCGTCGACGCGCGCCGGCGAGCTGCGCCAGACGGCGCTGCGCACTCAGCGCCGCGCATCCGCTCCCTGGCGTGCCATCCGCCGCATCCACTCCCCCCTCTGACTCGCACGCCCTCGCCTGCGAGTCCATCCACCCGCATGTGCGCGCCTGCGCCGTCTCAGAGCCATCCGCACCTCTCCACGTACCACGCCCGCCCTCCGCACCACGACTGACTTTACCATCCACTGCATTAGTTCCTGCTCAACTCAATGCACATGTGCCCTCTGCGCCCAAGCGCCCGCACCACATGCCCACGCACGCGCGCGCGCCGCGGTCCTCTCGCCGCCGCAGCCCCTGCCTCTGGTGCTCAGCGCAGTCTAGTGACGCAAGAAGCTTCGTCAGGGAGTCGCAGAGCGTGAGAAGCGCCGCCGCCCGACCTGGTTGCTCACCATCCATCCCGGTCCGCGCTCGCAGTGCAGCCACTCGTCAAGCTTGACTTCATCGTCAACGCGCAGAAGTCTGGTAGGGAGGTGGCCAGTGTGGTAGGGGTGGGAGGTCGAGACGAGAAGGAGCGTGAGACATTCGACGGGACCTCTGACCTGCGTCCATACATCTGCAGTGCCGCTCCTGGTGTCATGCCGGTGGAGCGGGCGTCCTGTCTCGTGCACGAGCGGGACGTAGGGTGCGCCCTGAGCCCTCCGAAAACAAACCCATAGTCCGTGGGCCGTCTCGACGGTTCAGTTGTCGTTGTCGCGTCCCGCGAGGGACCCCTGCAAAGGGAGACACTTCAGTCCTGTGGTAGGATGTGACGCCTCAGAGACCCGTGGTACTCGTCCCGTCTCTTCTCGTCCCGATCTCTTGCTCTCGTCCGCTGTCCACCTCCCACTTCGACGTGTGCAGAAACGTTCACTGACGCCCACTTCGCTCAGCTTGGCATCTTCTCCGTGGCTCACAGTCTTGGACATGTCGATCTCACTCGTCATCGGTCCATACAGCAGCTGAGTGGCCCCGTTCTCGTCGTGTCGGGAGGGATATGAGGCTGGAGCAGAAGAGTCAGAGAAGCGCGAAGCTGCGTGGTACGCCTCATTGTTGTCGTCTGCGGACGGCAGCATGTTCGTTGCTCTGGCCTAGTGGGCCGGTGGAGCAGGTGTCGTCGCCTCAAGGAGTGCCTCTCGCTGCCTTCGGGCGTAAGACGGAACTCCGAGAGCTTCGGTGCAGACCCAGCCCTGTGGGTCTCGGGAAAAATCATCCAAGGACTGCCCATTCGTGGGTCTTGTGCTTCGGCTAGTCTCCGTGGTATGGCGTCCAGCGACGTGTACTTGTCTGGCTCTTCCCTCTGTGGCGTCCTCCGGGACACGCAGGGGCCGCTGAGGAGCCGAATCATGAGATGCGTGCACTCGATGCGGGGCCCGGCGACAATGTGGTGGCCACACAACCTTTCCCAATGCTGTTGCTGCTGACATACCGCATTACTGCTCCGACGCGAGAACGCAAAACGCCGGGTGAGATACTCCATCCCCATTATCATCCTTCATTCGCTCTACTGTTCCCCTTTTCCCCAGGCATACACGCCGCGCACAGCTCTGTCGAGATCCGGTGAGGTACTACACCAGCCTTGCCGCTCTTCAGCTCACGCTCGTCCACCGTAGCTCTCGCCTGCCCACGACGCGCATCTTCACTCGGCGGCAGCGCTCGGCTCACCGTGTGTGTGGAGTCTCGACCAGCCGCTGACAGGTGCTGACGGAATGAACTCTATTGCCCAGCCAGACGGCTTCGTATCCTGGTAGCGAGAGCAGATCGCACGGCGTGCCGATTTGCAGCGACGTCGCGGCTGACTTGCGACAGCAGTGCGAGTGCGTCTGCTTTGCTCCCGCCGACGAGCGGGATCAGCGGCAGCGCGAGCTGTGCATCGTCGGCGCCGCGTGCCGGGGACGTGCGTGCCAGCGACTGGGCAATCGCTTCGAGTGGGGCTGAAGCGCGTGCCAGCAGACTGCGGGCAGATGGTGACTTGGTGCGCGACGCAGTCGCTTGCACCGCAACGTAGGCCTGCCGACGTGTGAGCTTCTGCGCTGCGCGACAATGCAGGTGTCTCACCTCGAGAGCAACGCAGGCAGTCTGCTGCACATGCCATGGGCTTGTCTCCGCCCGTGGCTGCTGCACTTCGTCGCGCCGCGCTGGCGTGCAGAAGGAGTGAGCGTGATTACAAGCGTGAGGGTCAGGACGCACCTTCGAAGAAGCCTTCGACAGATGCAAGGTCGTCATCTTTGAGCGCGAGCGCAAAGCGATGTAGCGCTGCCTCGGCAGGGTTGAGCTGTGCGCAGAGGATGAGCTTCGGGTGCTCGGCGCCGCGAGGAAGTAAGGCATACCTCGGACAGATCTGTCTGCTCGCTAGACGTGGACTCGAAAGCAGTGTCGATGCCCAGTGACGAGGCTGCGATTGTCAGCGCAGCTCGGGCGAAGCAGGCCTGGACAAAGTATGGGTGAGCAACAGGCGCCTGAATACGGACGCAAAACACGCACCGATGGGCGCGGCCCAGAGCCCAGCGTGATCAGCTCTTCGCATGTTGGCCCGTCGAGGGGCAAGAGCGAGGGCAGCACGGCGTAGTCACGCTGATCATGCGTGCCGGCTGCGGGTCAGACTCGTCCGTCAGCGATGTCGGAGTCACATGCTCAGCTTCACTCACCCTCCAGCGCCTCGTGCGCCTCCCGCAGAACGGTCGCAAGGCGCTGCGCGTGCCCTTGATCCGGAGGACTGGCGCCGAGTAGAGCGGCGCGGACGCTCTCGATGCGACTCAGCTGGCGCTCGAGTGATCGCTCGAGGCACTCCGAGAACTCGACGAACTCCTCAACCTGCGAAGAGGTGGTCTCAGCACTGAGAAGGACCCGAGCTAGAGTCAACGCACTCTGGAGAACGTGCCGTGCTCCAGGCACTTTGACACCATCTTCGGCAGCTGTAGGTCGTCGTGAGCAAACGCAGGCCTGCTCTACAACGCAGCACGCACCTCTCGCTCGTTCTCCTTGTACAGGTTCTCAGCCTCCCGCGCGAGCTTGTTCGCTCGCTGCTCGTCGCCAATCGCCGCATGTGCTCGCCTCTCGGAGACAATCCAGCCAAGCGTGTCCCACTGCACGCCCTTGATGCCGATGCGGCCGGCTTCGTCGCGCGATAGAGACGTGGCACCGAGACGTGCGAGCAGACGCGATCGCAGCAGGCGCAAGCGATAGCCTTTTGGGCTCTTCTGCAGAGCGAAGCCGAGCAGCGCAACCGCTGTGAGAGGCTGTGACAGCATTGTCTGCGCAGCGAGCAGGGCGAAGTCATCGGCCGGCTGCATCTCCGTGGCAGGCAGATCTGCGCCGAGGGGAAGTGCAGCAGCGTACGCGCGAGTGTATCGCGCAGCAAGCGCAACATCGCTCAGCGTCTCCGCCGAGTATTTGCCGCAGAGGCGAGAAAGCTTAGCCCGGTTGAGGTAAGCGTACATGGCTCGCAAATCCGGGAATGTCTGCGGCGGCTCTTCGCACCAGGACGCGAAGCGTGCACGCTCTTTCGTGGCGAGAGACGGAATGTAGGGCGCGAGGTCGTCCGCAGCGCAGGCCTTGTCGCCAAGGTCCACGAGGTACGAGCTAAGCTCGTCGGCCACACCCGCAGCGTAGGCGGCAGGATCAGAACCGACAAGCGCAGTCAGCTCGGCCTTGAGCACGGCTGCTCGGAGGTGCAGAACGCCGAGCCGCTGTGTGCGGTCACGCTTCGCACTTGCTACCGGCGCCAGTGCTGACAGCGTGTCCATCGCCTGAGACAGGAGCGCTCCGTCTCTGCTTTCGCTGGCGAGCTTGACCGATGCGTCGATGAGCGATGCGACCACCGGCCAGTTGCGATTGCCAGCCGCAAGAGCTTGCGACGCATCGCTGTGCATCTGCTGCCACTGGCCGGCTTTGACCTGCAGCTCGCGGCGGAGCTCCTCGAGGCCGAGGTTGCGACGCACCAGCGACGGCCCTTCTCCTTGCTCTAGCAGCTCCAATGCGTCGGCCATGGCGCCCGGCAGCTCTGCTGCGGGCTTCAGTGCCGCGACACGCGCAGAGACCGTAGTCGCGAGCCACGCTTCCTCATCAGAGCGCGGGCCGAGCGGGTGGGTCTCGAGGTGCTGCGTCGCCATTCTGTGCGCCAGCGGAAGTGCGAGCGCTGCGCCGGGCGCGCTGGGTGTGCGGGACAGCACCAGATAGGCAGCAATGCTGGCCCAGAAGAAGAAGCCGGCCTCGCTGCGCATCTGGGCACGAAGGCCGCTCGGAGCGGCGCCTGCAGCAGCCACGGCAGCCTTGTGCAGCCGCATGGCCACCTGCTGGGCACGCTGCCAGCGCGAGGCGCGGGCCAGAGCCAGGAGTGCCTTGCGGCCGGCGTCGAGGCTGCCTGGATGTGCCGTTGCCGCGGCGTCGAACAGCGTGGCCTCGTCGCCGCGGCGGCCGAGCGCGCTCAGCGCCAGGCCCGCAGCATGCACCGACGAGGCATCGGTGGGTGCGCTGGCCATGAGCGCATCGGCGGCCTCGTGTGCCCGGGCAGCGTCGGGCAGCCGCGCCAGCGCGAGAAGGCGCAGCGCCGCGGCCAGCGGCGAGGGCGAGGAGCGCAGGAGCTGGTCCGCGAGCGTGAGCGCCTTGGCCGGGTTGCCCGAGTCGAGGGCGGTGTAGACGGGCGCGCACCGCCGCTCTGCGAGTGCGAGAGCAGCCGCGCTCATGGCTGAGACGGGCAGAGGTGGAGGGGTGAGGCCGAGAAGGCGTGGCGGCGGCACAGCGCGGCGGCGGCGAGAGCGAGAGCATGATGGCGCAGGCGCTTCGCACGCTCGGCGCTGCCGGCCGAGCACGCCGACTCGGCAGCGCGGGGAGAGGCACGACGCGTCTTGCGCGTTGCCTCGACGCGTAGAGAGGCGGCGTGGGTGCAGCTGGCAGCCGCGCGCGCTGCGACGCCTCCGCTGCCTGTGCCGGCCGCCCGGCCTTCTTCTCGCGCACATCCGTCCGTCCGTCCCGCCCTCGCTCATCCCCCGTCCGCTCACAGACAGATCAGCTCCGCTCTTCACCACCTCGGCACGCACCTCTTCCGACCGTCTCTCCCTCTCCGCCGCCGCGATGGCGTCCGGCCCGTCCCTGCCCGTGATCACGCTGGATGTCAACTATGCCGAGGACAAGGCGCACATCGCAGACTTCCTCTCCTTCTGCAAGGGCACTGTGCCGCCGCTGCGCGCATCGGGCAGCGTCGTGCGCGAGCCCGACTCGGACGACGAGGGCGACCATGCCGATGCCGACGGAGAGCTGGAGGATGCGATGGACGGCGTGCAGCTGGGCGCGCCGGGCAAGGGCGCCCGCGGCAGCGGCAGCAGCTACAAGTACAAGGAGCAGCTTGTGAGTGCTGCACGTGCGGCTCCGGTGAGCGCCTGCTGACTGCGCTGCAGCAACGGATCTGCAACCGCGAGCAGGATGCGTTGGTCATCGATCTCGCCGATGTCGCGAAGGTGAGCCTGCCAGCGCGATCCTGCGCCGGGCTCGTCGCTGACTGCCTCGTCCTCAGCACCGCTTCACTTCGACGGGCGAGACGGGCCTCGAGCTTGTGCGCTCCATCACCGGCAATGCGCACCGCTACGTGCAGCTCTTCTCCGAGGTCGTCGACAGCGAGCTGAAGAAGCTGCAGCCGGCTCGCGGCATCACGCACCGCGACGACGTCATGGATGTCATCCAGGAGCAGCGTGTCGAGCGCAACGCCCGTGCAGAGCAGGGTCAGAGCGCGCCGCAGACGGAGGAGAGTGACGGCGCTGCGGCGGAGGCCATTGGCGCAGAGGATGCGCCTTTCCCACCGGCTCTTCTGCGGAGATAGTGAGTGTCTCGCAGCTCTGGTGAAGCTAGCAACGCTGAGCCCCGCTTCTCGCAGCAACTTGTATTTCCGTCCGGCAACAACCAAGGGCACCATGGCCGTGCGCGCCGTGCGTGGCGCCCACCTCGGGCAGCTCATTACGGTGCGCGGCATCGTGACGCGCGTCAGCGAGGTCAAGCCATACCTCCTCGTCGATGCGTACTCGTGCGATGCTTGCGGCGCGGAGATCTTCCAGGAGGTCAACGGCCGGCAGTACCTGCCGCTCAGCGTCTGCCTGTCGAAGCAGTGCTCGATGAACCGCACCAAGGGCGTGCTGCACCAGCAGACGCGCGCGAGCAAGTTTACCAGCTTCCAGGAGGTCAAGGTGCAGGAGATGGTGCGTTGCCGCCGTCGCAGCTACCTACAACACGCACTGACTCCTCTCCTTTGCAGGCCGACCAAGTGCCCGTCGGACACATCCCACGCAGCATGACCGTGCACCTCTATGGCCCGCTCACGCGCTCGCTCAGCCCGGGCGACGTGGCGGACATTGCCGGTGTCTTCCTGCCCACGCCGTACACCGGCTTCAAGGCCATCCGCGCCGGTCTCCTCACCGACACGTACCTCGACGCGCAGCACGTCACGCAGCTCAAGAAGCAGTACGAGGCCATGGAGATGACGCCGCAGATTGCCGCGCAGATCGAGGCTCTGAAGGACGACCCGGCGCTGTACACGAAGCTGGCGGCGAGCATCGCGCCCGAGATCTACGGCCACGAAGACGTCAAGAAGTGCCTGCTGCTGCTCCTCGTCGGCGGCGTGACGAAGACGGTCGGCGACGGCATGAAAATCCGCGGCGACATCAACGTGTGCCTCATGGGCGATCCCGGTGTGGCCAAGAGCCAGCTGCTGAAGTACATCTCCAAGGTGGCGCCGCGCGGCGTGTATACCACGGGACGCGGCAGCTCCGGCGTCGGCCTGACGGCTGCCGTGATGCGCGACCCGGTGACGGAGGAGATGATGCTTGGTGAGTGTCTCGCTGCTCGGCTCTGAGCACATTGCTCATCAGTCTTGTGACGCAGAGGGAGGCGCCCTCGTGCTCGCAGACAACGGTATCGCCTGCATCGACGAGTTCGACAAGATGGACGAGTCGGATCGGACCGCCATTCACGAAGTCATGGAGCAGCAGACCATCAGCATCAACAAGGCCGGCATCTCGACGACGCTCAATGCGCGCACGTCGATCCTTGCCGCAGCCAATCCGCTGTACGGCCGGTACAACCCGCGCATCTCGCCGGTCGACAACATCAATCTGCCTGCGGCGTTGCTCAGTCGCTTCGACGTGCTCTTTCTCATTCTCGACACGCCGAACCGCGACGACGACGAGCGCCTGGCGCAGCACGTCTCGTACGTGCACATGCACAGCGCCCATCCGCCGCTCGAGCACGAGCCGCTGGATGCCATTCTCATGCGGCACTACATCGCACTTGCGCGGCAGAAGCGGCCGACGGTGCCGCGTGCCGTGAGCGAGTACGTTGTGGGAGCGTACGTCAAGCTGCGCGCCCAGGGAGCCGAGGACGAGGCTCGGGAACAGTCGTACACCTACACCTCGGCGCGCACGCTGCTGGGTGTGCTGCGTCTCAGCCAGGCACTTGCGCGACTGCGCTTCGCCGACAGCGTCGAGATCGCCGACGTCGACGAGGCGCTGCGGCTCATGGACGTCAGCAAGGCCAGTCTGCATGCCGACGGCCGGCGCAAGGCCGGCGACGAGCTCGGAGACAACAGCAACATGAGCAAGATCTACCGCATCATCCGCGAGATGGCGCTGGCAGCCGGCGCCGCCGAGCGCGATGCGGCTGCCGCCTCGCGGCGCGGCGGCAATGCACGGCGGGCCACGACTGGCCGTCTCGGCCGTGGCCCCGACCGGCAGACCGGCGGCGAGGCCATGGCACTGGACGAGGACGATGCGGGCGAGAGCCAGAACCTGCCGGGCGAGCTGCTGCTGCGCGACGTGCGCGACCGCATCATCGCGAGCGGCTGGGTCGAGGACCAGCTGCAGGAGTGTCTCACGGAGTACAGCGACCTTGGCGTCATCCAGGTCACCGGCTCGCGCCTCGTCTTCCTGTGAATGTGTCACCCTCGCCGTCCCCTGCATGCCCTCGCTTCTTCATGTATCACCAGCCTCGCAATGCACTTCGTCTTCGCACACCGAGTGGGCAGTCGAGGTCGCGGGAAAGGGCTGTGTATTATCGCAGGTATAATGATGAAGAGACGCAGACACGACGGAAGGGGGACAGCGCGGCGCCGCGCGCATGGAACGAGCAGGCGGCATGACTGCTGCAACTGCTGGCTTCACTGGCCGATCGACGCGGATGCGACTGGTCCGAAGCCGCCGTTCTGACGCACGAATTCGTCGAAGGGCGTGAAGTCTGGAAGGTCGAAGGGCCGAGACTGAGATGGTGCGATGCGCAGCTGAGACGAAGCGGCGTGCACGAGCGGCGGAGCAAGAGCAGCGTCAGCGACGCGTCGAGGAGGAGCCGATGTTGAGCGGCTGAGCAGAAGCGGTGCCGTCGGGCTGCGCCGACGACGAATCCGGACGCTCGATCAGCTGGATCAGGGCGTGCGGTCCCTCGACTGATCCTGGCTGGTGCTCCCACTGGCGCTCCCCCTGGCGCTGCTGCTTGAGCTGGCGTGAGTGTTGCTGCTGGCGAGGCGAGAGCGGCGCCGGCGCGTGGCGTGGCCGGGGCAGCTCCTGATGCTGGCTTGCCTGCAGCTGCGCCTGCGGCAGCGGCTGCGGCGCTCCGCCGGTAACTCGGCGATGCTTGGCCAGCAAGTCGTTGTAGGGTCCTTTGAGGGCATCGTACTTGTTGCGGTACTTGCTGGCCTCCTGGTGCTGCTGTTGCGCGTGCGCGTTTGCCTCGCTGAGCTCGCGCAGCAGCCGGGACTTGTCTGCCTTCAAATCTGCCAGCTCGCGGAGCAAGTCGATCCTGCGGGATGGTCAGCACGCGGCGGACACGGGCTTGTAGAGCAGACCAAGACTTACCTTTGCTCTCTTGTCCAATCTTGCTTTGCACGCTGTCCGATGCGGTGGGTGAAGGCATCGTTGCAGAGGCTCATCGGACCGAGAGGCGCCTTGCGTTTGCGCTGCTGCTGCTGCTGCTGCTGCTGCTGCTGCTGCTGCTGCTGCTGCTGCTGCTGCTGCTGCTGCTGCTGCTGCTGCTGCTGCTGCTGCTGCTGC